TTTGATGATTAAACATTGGTTGACTAATTGACAAGATGGTAAACAACATGTTTCTTCACATCACGGATTAATCTGATACAGTTAAAAACATTTGTGATAATGTTTTTTAGTTATTTCTATTAAGGCAGTGACTTGAGCACATAACAAGTCTTGGATCTCAGTTATATCAGAGCAGTATGGTCAATATATTGTTTTTGAGTTCAAACAGTGACGTCATAACATAATTTGCTGATATCTTCAAATTGTGATTTAATGTACATCAATCGGAAGCTTTTCTCACGATGAGTCAAATGGTTTATTACTTCGATGAATTAGACACATCTTTCTCAAATTATGACCATAAAAAAGTTTTTCAGGTGCCAATTTTTTGACGTCATTTCCAGCCAACGCCTATCGAAAATCAAAATGTACCCAATTCCCAGGCCTATTTTGTAGAGCAAACTTCAAAATACCAAAAGCAACTTTCAAACAAGGTCTACTAAAAGTTTTCACGGAGCTGTAGATTTCGATCCAGCTTTGTTCCTTAACTTGTTCCAAAACGTGTTTCAAAACGGGTACGGAAAGCTACTCCAAAATGGCCACTCCGTATCGGTTTTGGTGCCGATTGATTAGGACCCAATCCCCTGTAAACATCACTGGGACTAAGTCTTACTGTGCTAACGATTTCAATATCTGTAAAAGGTGAATACAGAAACCAGATTCACTTTTTGTAAATCAATTGCGGAAACATTTGGGCGAAGACATTAAACTGTAAGCTTGAGTTGACTGTATGGCGTAAAAAGATAGCATGGGTCCCTGTCTTTCAACTTCTGTTTGAAAATGCGATTTCACGATCCAAGCTTATGGAGCTGCTAGCTGTCCAAATTTCTATATCTATAGACCTGCAGATTACAATTAATGCATTGAACCAAAGCTTATTTAATGCATTAGGCCCATTCGGCTAATTTTATCTCAATGAAGCAATAATATTCGGGCAAGACCAATAAACAGCCCCTCTAAACGCTTAGCCTCCGCTACCCCCAAGCTTTAAGTCTGAAATCGCTAATCGCAAAACTCAAGCTTACGTCGTTGTTCTTAATGATGAGGAAATGTATGCCATTTTTAATGGTTCGACAAAGAGGAGTTATAGGGTTTATCTCAGAAGAGATAACCAAGAGCTTATTAGAATCAAGCCCTTCTTAAATCCAAAGAGCGTTTCAAACTACTTCATTTGCGTAGAATTGCTCAGTGGATTTGATAACAAAAATTTTTCATCTACCTTGAAGTGAATAATAATTGCATCACCGACTTCTCCCCTTACAATGGGACCAAGAATTCCAAGGTCTTTTCTGTGGGGCTTTTGGGTAACATATTTGTCATCGGTAAACTCACGATAAACTGTTTTTCTGTAAACTCGGCCAATTCTGTTTGTTCCATTCTTGGTGAAAACCGAAGCATCCCTGCAAAAAATGGAAAATAAGAACTTAAGTGATGTTTCAAATGAAAAGAATACACTAAAATATATGCACTTTTGTCTTTTAACGAAATACTTTACAAGAAAACCTACATGTGGAGACAGGACCCAAAAGTCTAGAGTTAAATTTCCTAAAAAAATTTCCAATTTTCCAAAGTTTTTTTTTATAACTGCAAACAGTCGAAAATAAGGAAGCTGGTTCCATTCATTTTTATCCAACTTCCTTCTTTATGTTGCTGGACTTGCTTTCTAGCCACAATTAGCAAAATCAACTTTTGGTACTACAATGTGATCAAACGGGGTCCAAAAATAAGGAACTTTAAGAACCAGGTCTTGGGCTAGGTTTCTTTTAATCAAGACCTATACATGACTTCGCTAGGACTGGGCCTCTTCGTGATCAGAATGAACCATACGAGGGAGAGTCGCACATCCTATTTCTGTTCTTTCGTTACCAAATTACCCATGAGTTCTTTATTTTGACAAAGTTGTTGACTAGAACAAAGTTGAAAGTTTCCAAGTGAAGAGTAAGGTACAGTAGGAGAACATAAAGAAGGTTTTCAGTAGATGGAATTCACAGTTTTGTTGCAAAGCTTTATTGGTTATATTCGCTGTTACATGCATCAGACACAGTAAAGGGCGATGGGTTTATGTCTTTAAAAGTCGGTCTCTTCTGAACTCAAAAGATAAATTTGCACCTTGAGTGCGCGAGGTGAATCAATAACATTTTTGTGGGGTGAAATAGGGCTATAAATCCAGTGGGTCTCTGTTCTAAATCTCTAAATCAGTGCAACATTTCTGCAAAGAAACTTTCTAATCTGAAGGATAAGTAACCATATTTTCGCGTGTGATATTATTATCATTTACCGAAACAATCAAAGTCAATATTGTTTTCTTCTGTTTACTGACTCAAATGATTGCATATATTCAAACAATAATTAGTAACAAAGATTTCTGTTAGCCAGTCTGTTTTCAAGTCTTCAATGCGCTATAGGCAGTGCTAGTTTCACGCTTGATGCAATCATCGGGCAACTGTTCCGGACAATCATATGAACTGTATTTCAAATGCCTGTTGAAGAAAGTTTTTTCCGATCGAAAAACATTCCTCTTGTGATTCAATTTTTTTAGGCCCTCTTTTTATTACATTTTGTCTTAATTTGTCATCGTACGCTGTACAGTGGCCTTGTATAACATCAAACAAGAAAATTATAAGAATTCATAACAATTGGAGCATAGCTACATCACATTAAGCCCGATGCTAGGAGGAAATTTCTGATTGGAAGGAGGGGTGGGGGGAGGCGGATGTAAACCACAAACTTTAACGTAATATAAATATATACATAATTAACAATAGCAATTTCTCCATCATGGGGAAATAGAAAAGTTTCGAAAAAGAAAAGAGGACATTTTGGGCCACATTCTTTTTTAGCAATGCTGATAATCATTTTGACCTGGTTAGCTATTTCTAAAACAAAGAGCCACGTTTCTCATAAATTGAATCTCTATTAAAATTTACTGAAAATGCAATTTACAAATTTACAAAAAAACTTAATTTTAAGCATGAAAATGCAACCGTAAAATATAAAGCAAGGTTCAACTCAAGAGAGGACAGAAAACCCAAAAGCTTCTTCAATGGGCGCATAGACCCCCACAGGCCGTTAAGCCTTAAAGTCATCGAGTCATGGCAAAAAGGGTTTCGCTATAGAGGGTTCTTTAGTTACGACGTGGTCGTAATCTTGGTAAAAAAGCCACATAAAATCGAGCGCGGAAAAAGAGGTTAGGGGTGCTCAAAATTGTGTGGCTCTGGTACCTAGCGTAGTGTGATCGCCGTATGCTCATGTGATATTAGCGTCTCTGTTGGCAACTTGCTATTGACGAAAGCTGTTTAGAAATCAGTATGGGAGAAGTTTATGTGATTTGTGCCAGATCAACTACAAGTATTTTTTTAGAAACTAAAGTCCGGTGCTGGTACGCAGTTTCTCAAATTTCCTGGCCATTTTGCTATCAAAAGTTTCTTACATGTTTCTTAAATTTCTTAGTTAATGAATTTTTCAAACGTGCTTCCAAGGTAAAGTAAATAGTTCACTCGCATTCAGAGATAAACTAACAAAGTGATCAAGGAGTTTTGTTTTCCTAGAATGACTAACCCTGTTGAGATTTGTAAACAGTTAAGCTTCGTTTAACTTCATAAATGTTAAGTTGAAGTCAAAACAAATTTTTAAATGGAAATATCTTGAGTGTAGTGTGCAATTTACTGAGAATGAATGCAAACTGCATGTCAATGGTAGTGTTGCAATATAAAATGATGTCAAGACTGTTTCGAGTGTCAACTCGGAAAATTAAAACTACAAATTATATAAGTTTCTTAGCTTTTTCAATTTGGGTAGGGTTGTTTCTTAGCTTTCGAAATCACAGAAATTCTGTGACGAAGCCACGCCCTTTCCATTCACCACCACTCGATGCCTTTCACTTTCCGCCTTTGTCTTTGTTTTGTTGAAAATACTAACGTTTGACCAGTAACAGCATTTTATATGAAAACCTCATTTATCTCCTTGTTGAAGCGATAGCTTGAATGTTATATTGAGATCAAAAATGTTCTTTCATAAAACTCTAGAATCAATACGGAATCATTGCATAACATCGACAAAGCGGATGCTAACGTTTAGAGGGGCTAGTATGGATCTTGTCCGAATATTATTGCATTATTGAGATAAAAATGCTTGAATGGAGCCTAAAATGCCTTAAATGTTGCCTGATTAGGGGGGACTATAGCCCCTTTGTCCCCTAGGGTTAAAAATCTTCAAATTCGTCATATTTGGGGCAAGCTCTGTTTTATATCCCAGGCTCCTAGAAGCGTTGACTAACAAATATCCAGTATTCTAATAGTTTGCTCTGATGAAGCCCCGTATGCCGGGGCGAAATATTAGCCTCTACTGATTTACGTGTATTTATTGTTGTTTATTCTCGGCGTATTGCGATGTTTCATATTTGCTTCATTTTTATCTACTTTTTGCCGCAAGAACTCCTTGGAGCCCGTCGAGCAACCTGCTACAGTGACCTTTTCTTCATTCACACATTGTAATTATAGTTGTATAGTCAAAGCGTTGACGTGATTTTAACTCCAATTTCCAGATAGGGCTACCATATTTGTTTTCACCTGTTCCCAAATCTAAACTGGTTTAACACCTGCTGGTAGTCTAAGTTCCTTGAAGGTTTCTAAATATATTCATGAAAACTTACGAATTAGGACCGTAGCATATGGTGGCCTTCCACAAGGCATTTTATCAGACGATATTCATGAATGTGCAAGTTAATCAACTGCACACAGACACTGTTAGGTCTTTGACGTTTGTACCAAATATTTAGACGATAAATCAACTTTGCAAACTTACTCATCTTTGTCCAACAACAGTCCATTTTTGAGGTTTTTTCCTGTTGGCGCGTAGTCCCAATCCACGTTAACTGCTGCGATGTAGTAAACACGATCTGTGCATTCAACAGCGAAGAAAATAAGAGCGTGTGCAAGGCATAGGTACACAGCTAGGTTCGCCATTTTCACTCAAGCAAAGAAAGATTCACTTTCATAGGACAAATTCCAATATCATATTACTATTTGCTTATAAAAGAGGATTCCCCACGCATCCGCATTGAGGTCGCAGTGACAAACAGCCCACTGTCTCGATTGTGGACATGACATCATATCAGCTGTCTAGTACAGTAACCATTGTGAATATGACGATATTATGATAGGCAGCATTGAATTGAATGGAAAAATATATAAACTCCACCCATTGTTTTCCATAATTTTGCAACACTCATGTGCCAAGATAACTTGTTGGACAATGAGAAAAGGACAAAAAACTTGAATTCATTTAGAATAGAAAAAACATAACGGATAAATAGCTAAAAGACAAATTCATGTGGAAGCATGACCCCGTTTCTACCTTCCAGTTTCTATCTGTCGACCTTGACTTTTCTCTAATTACTCACCATCTGAGGATATTGCAACTGTAAGTATCTTCCTCCCAATTTTGAATTTCTTCAGGTTTTGAACATCTTTTTGTCAGACAGCTTGTGTCACAAAAAACTTCCCCTAAATGATAACGAACAGAGAACCAATGGTAACCTTAAATTGCCAAGTTAGTTAAATATTTGCAAAGCTGGGTGAACCGAAAAGTTTGAAGTTTGCAAACGGATGGCTGTTATTTTGGCTCTGTTCACAAAGTCATGAACTAAAACAAGTCAAAATTACTGTGATTTGATGGGGAACCAATTTGGGTGATTTCTCATCATTTTGTGACCTCTGTTATTCCCATACAGTAGCGTTTTGGTTTTAAGAAGCTGCACATAGTTGTATTTTGTATCTTTTGGCTTGACCAGGTCCAATTTAAGGAACTTCCTTAGGCCAATTTACTGCAAACCCCCCCCCCCCCTGCAATACACCAACTCAGAAAGCAGACATGATGCAAACGTGAATGCTTTGGAAGTTGCACCCTAATTTGTCGTGCCCACAGCCTGGGGAAAAATTAACCCCACACAAATGTAGAGGCTGAAGCTGAGAAATATTCTTGTAATATTCTTAAATATTTCTGAGCCTCTTATAAACAATGTTCTTAAAAGAAAGAGTGTTAAAAGAAAGAGTTGATAGCATCTTGGTACCCATGCATTGACAATGTCACGTGGTGTAGTTGGAATTCTAACTCTACTACTATTCCTAACAGTATTCAAAATTTGAGTAACCAAAGAAATCATGGTGAAGTGATTAATCTTATACGGAGCAGCTGCATAATCAGCCTGCTATATCCGATTAAGAATAAAAGCAACCGTAACAATTTCAGATTATAGTTCTTGGCCTAATTCTTTTTTAATCTCTTTAACAATGGGAGCTTGCTGTCTTGAGAAATCTCAAAGCCAGACGTACCGCATAGGAAGGTAAAGGGTTTCGACAAAACAGGTCGATCGAAAAGTATTCTCCTCACGTTGGTATCGGCAGTAGAGTTCAAATCATGCATTTTAGTTTCATTCATATAATTTGTCTACAATCAAGAAAATACATAGAAGCTAGCCCAATGCAGACACGCTGCAGGTCCAGCGGCTCGAAAAGGTTTTTCATCTTACCATTGTCATTTGAGCAGTCATACCCGTTCTTATGGTTTCTGTGATCTAACAGCGTCTTTCATTCCTGTCTTTCTAGAGCGGCTGACTTCCCAGGGAATTGGGTCGGTGACGTAGCCATGATACGGGGGTGGTCGCAGATGCACCCCACTGGTCGCTTAGAATAACTTGGCAAAAATACACTATTTTACTCACTCTCTCTTCCCATTGGTTGTTTTTTCATAGTAAATCCCAAGTCTAGATGATTATTTTTTGCCGGAAACAATTGAATATTGCCCCCCCCCCCTTTTAAAAAGAACGAAGTTTTGTCTCCTCAGCTGAACCTTTTAGAAATGGTAACGGTTAAACTCATTGCAATTAGTTATAAGAATTTACTAATGTCGAAAAGCATTGCGAATGATTTCTGTTAAAAACGCTTCTCTATTTCTCACCCTAAAAATATTCTAGATACCCAAGAACGCTACAGGGAACAATACCCAAACCTGCACAATAGCAGTAACCCATGATTATATAAAAAAACGAATCATAAGACTTTAAGTAAATGCAAACTTACTTTTAAATTGGTCTGACTTTTGTTAGACAGATTTACTTTCTTAACTATTAACTCTAACTAGCAATACAAAATCGGTCTGATCAGTCAAGAAGGAGTTTCTTGCAATGAGGGTTGCAACTTTTCGGCATACTCGTTCCATAAATCTCTTGAATGAACTGAGTTTGGTTTTGCAGTAACCAATGGCAGCCCATCGAGAGCATGTCTCCAGCCTGTCGATGCACTGCACAGGCTCAGGCTTTTCACGCACTGTACGTTCATTGCACTGCATGCATGATCTCCGACAGTTTCGTTTCACCCATTTATGAACGCAAGTGCTCTTTAGATCTTTGCAAAAACTAAACTTGTCACGGCACAAAGACACTGAAAAGGAATTCAGAGATTTGAATTCATCATGATCCCTGTTCCTATTATGATGCTGATTATGATGATTATGATGACTAAGTTATGACGATGATTACTATCGATCAAATATTACCTGATTTTCTCTCATGAACGGTATATCTTGTCTCCATTCCTCCTTCCAAGTGGTCGTGAACATGACAGTGTAGTAGCCAGGTACCCTTGTGCTTTGGGACCATTTCGAGTGTTTCGAAGACACCGGGAAATACATTGTAAGTGTTGTCGCGATGTTCTGTGTTTGTTCGCTGTTGAATTGAAATATAATTGATCAATTCTAAACACCTCACCCTATCTTTTGAGAATATCTGCAGCTTCCAGGACAGACCACTAAGCTTGTAGAGCTTTCAACATATATATATCTTGTTCAACAGAAAGTGTATATTTTGCGGGAAGTGCCGCAACAGACCATACTGACTGGTATCGCAAGAACCTTTAAAGCTCCTAAGCCAAAAACTTTTGCCAATTGAAAGAAGAAGTCTTGGTTAGGATTACGTTTGCGTCTATTTGGTAGTGAATTATGATTCTCGTTTGATTGATAAACAACATGTAATCAAATTAGGCCTAAAATGTTTTCATGGCCTAATTTTGATACGTTGAATACGGCCTAAAATGTTTTTGTAGTTATAAGCATGTTTAATTTTAATCCAATTCTTATCTCTTTTTTGATACTTTAAGCTTGAGTTTTTCCATGACTTTGATAAATGGATAAAGCATATTATCCATGAAGAAGGCAAAGTTCACGCTAATTCTTATTTCCACATGTACTTGAACCAAGCTTATATAAAAGACAGCTTGGCAGGTCATGCGACGAATTCAAACTTACTGACACCTAAGCCTGATTGGTCAGGTTCTCAAACAATCAAATGTAGACATCAAAACCCATGACAGTGGCGGGAGGAGCAACTAAGGACAAGACCCGCCAAATTACCATGGGTACCAGAGCTACAGAAAACCAAGCGGAGAAGCGGAGGAGCGTCTAGCTGAGAAGAAGGCGTTCCTCCGCTTCTCTACTCCTATCTTCTATTTCCAAGACCCGCACACAATGCCCGGTTCGAATCGCCCTTGTTTATTCTACACTATTAGAAGTCGTATTCAAAAGGAAACCACGTTCGTAGTTCCTTGATGAAAACCTTTTTTACTTCTCTAAACAAAACCAGGTTGAGGAGCTTTAAAACCAGATTACACCCGAAGCAAACATTTGTCGAACTGTTGAAGAAAACGATGAATAATTGATCTGATTTTGAGAGAAAAAATATCCACTTCTAGTGTTCCATAAAAGAGAACGTTTGATTCGTATTAGTAAAAGAGATATTAAGTGTTTTTATTAACTTCATATGTATAAAAAGTGTTTTTCTCACATGTCTTACATGTATGTGTTTTTTATCAATGTTACTTACATGTATAAAATCATTTGCATGAAAGTGCACTGTGTGGATATCAACCTCGTTTCCAAAGCCAATGAGGTACCAAGCAACGCGATCACCAACTTGCATCGTCAAATAATTGCCATTGTTTGGCCCATTTCCAAACAAATGTCCATTTATAACATGCATTTTATTGCTTTCTTTGAAATCTTCATCGCCTGTATCGATCGACTGTGGATCTCCTGCGAACTTAAGGATGTTGTCTTTCAAGTACCAGCTCTCGTTTTCATCAAAGACAGAAAATATCAACGCAAACTCTTTGTCAACATCAGTCCTTTGGCCATCTCTGCCCAGTATTCCCTGCAACAATGATTGAAAGTCTGCTCATCTACAGTCTGTTCTATTATAAGACATAGCTAACTAGACAGTTCCAATAAAACACAATAAAAACACGTGATTTTCACTGCTTTGTGATTGCAGCTAAGCAATTTTAAGCTTTAAAATAACAATTAATATTTTCATTAAAAACAAGGAAATGATGGACGCAAGTCAAAACAAAGTTTTATCATTGTACCAAATGTAAAAAGTTATTAGCAAAAGTCAACCTACAGATACATCTCCTTTTAGAGAAATACTGCAAATTATTAACAATATTAGGAATGTGGATATAAGAATACTAAAACATTTTTCCAGCCTCGATATTCTTAATAAATTTTTTGCTTCGAGGCTGAATATATTCTTAAAGCTTCTGACTTTTCTAGAATCTGATGTGGTTTCAAGGGAGCATCGTCCACACGTGGGAACATTTGTTTTCTAAAGCTTGAATTTATTTATCAAAAGTGTTAAATACAATTGGAGAAAGCATGTCAAAGCTGTATGGTCTGTGGGAAAAGTCTGATACTTTTCAGTCGAACATTATCAAGTTATTTAAAAGATTAATCATTCAATATAAACATAATCACAAAGATGCTGCGATGTTTCAGATGTTAATCCTCTTTCGTGAATTAAATTTTATTCCTAAGACTTTTAAAAACAAAACTTTGCATGAGTTTTGGGAATTGCTGAAAAGCCAAAAAGAGTTCAAGGTTCATGTTTATCCTTTTCTAAAGCAGAACAGTTGACTTCTTTTTGGAAAGCTTTCCGAATTAAAAACATATGTTGATAAAAAATTGTTACTGACTTTTAAAGCTTTTCTACATGCAGTAATCGTGAACTTTAATGTAAAAAAATAAAAATTACCAATTCAATACAATGTCAAAATCTGTGTAGCAAATGAAATGAAAAATGTGGGGAATCTTGGGTCAATGATCTACACTGCAATAAGGTAGGCCCCTCAAACAAAGATATTTCAGCGCCTTTAAAAGAATTGCAGACACATCCTTTAAGATTATCTCGATAAACGGGTTTGGTTGGCTTATATCTGCTAAGGTGTAACTGATCACATGAACTGTGTTTCTGTGATGACGAGCAATCAACTGATCACATGAAAGGTCTCGTGAAACTTCAATACTATCAGCGATGCAGTTATTTTTATGTGAGCTCTTTCCCACTTATTGCTACATTATTAGATAGCAAGATATTACTTCAGTGGAGTGCACTTTACCAAACAAGAACCTAGATATCAAAAAATGGAGTAAAGTTAGGGTTGCTTGGTAGAGATCTCTTACCAGATAGAACCAAGAAACGCTGGTTTGGGACATCAATGCAGATGTTTCATTATGCAAACAATCTTTTGGTGGTACAAAACTTGTAAATGGCTTTGAAAATAGCAAACATTTAGTAAACTAAAGCTTTTCGTCTGACACTTCAGAGTTTAAAACGTCAGAACATAGATCGAAAACTCTACGCTAAGAAATATATATACCCAGTTGTGGATCGAAATAGGCCAATCAGAAACACGAGCACATGACACGAGCACATGACTGTAGAGTTTTCGATCTATGTTCTGACGTTTTAAACTCTGAAGAATGTCAGACGAAAAGCTTTAGTTTACTAAATGTTTGCTTTTTTCAAAGCCATTTACATGTTTCATTATCTAATCATCTGGATATGAAATTAGTAATATCTATTGTTTTGTGTTTGTTGAGCTTTGGAATGGACAGCAAAAACTCAACGTAACACTTCTCGTAACCTTTTCAGGAGGACTCTTACAAAACCCAGCAAACATTGTTTTGTACCAAACAATTATACAAAAAACTCAATTCTGAAGCTTTTTGGCAGCTACAAAACTCTGATTATTGGCCTTAGAACTATAAGAAACTTCGTAGTCAGTATTTTCGGGAGAAAACTTGAGAAGAAAAGTTGAGCAGAATAAGTAAATTCTAACCTCTTATGAATTTCTACTTCAATGTGGATTTTGCTCAAATAAATAAATCTGCTACCTCACCTTTTTGCAAGTAATGAGTGGCCCAACTAGGCCCGTATTGGTATCCTTGATTATATCAACACCCGAAAAATATGACCACGTGATACAAGGGCCATCGTTAGGGCCTGGAGCTGAGGATTTTGAAACAAACCAACGGTATGTGTGTTGTGATCCAGGTTTTACTGCACGGGACTTCTGTGTGCGAGATTGGTCCATGTAGACGGAACCTTCGTTGTTTTTACTTAGGAGAGACAAAAATATCAGATGAAAGAAATATGAAGAAATTTCAAACAAAACCAAAGGCATTGCTTCATCGAAATACAGTAACTGTTGTGTAACCGTGACATTATCTGAACGACACTGGATGAGGATAGAGCCTTTGCTAACAACGAGCAAGCAAAATTTGAATTAATGCAAGCAAATAGGTCTTCTTATCAAGGTTTTGACACACCTTTTTTATGTAACCTGTCATTAGACACTTATGAGTGAGTAAGAGGGAAGATACGCAGAATCTGTTGTCCGCCGGATTCTGTGAATCTTGCAATGAGTAATGTAATAGAATTTCAAAATACATTAACTTTAGTGAATAATAATATTTCGCCCCGGTATACAGGGCAATCAGTCATTAGACACTTACTCGTAAAAGACACCGTGAGCTTGTATTGAGTAGTCTCTACTAGCCATGTTCTTGAAAACAACAATAATTTCGTCCCCTTCTTCTGCCCTTATGATTGGGCCTAAAGTGCCTAAATGCACATCCTTTTCCGTTCTTTCTTTAAGTCGAGTGAAGTTAGCGTCAGTGAATTCACGGTAGACTGCTTTCTTGTAAACTCTGCCAATTCTGTTTGGACCTTTCTTTGTAAAGACTGCGGCACTAGATTTAACAAAGAAACATTTAGAAAGATTGAAGAGGCCAAACGATTTCTAGAAAACCAAGAGAGTTGGAGGCGATTGAACGGTAAAAAGTGGTGTGAGAATTAAAAATCTTAATACAATAACTTGACGGCTGTAGTATCGAAAGCTTGGGCTCTGGAGTTTTCCTCTAAAAAATGCAACAAGAAACTAGTAGAGTGTGGAAACATTTAGCGAAAAATTGTCACCTTGAGTTTTAGCTGAAAGAGAGGAATAGGAAAGTCATAAGCAATCATATACACAACAATGACGATAAGCTGAGAAAATGAAAATGCATTTGTTTATTTATTTCTCCGAGGAGGAGAATCGATTTCTGGAAACCAACCGCCTAGAAGTCTGTGTAAATCTCACAGTTACTTAGCATTGATTCGCTTTTATGCGGAGCGCATTGTGACAAAGATCAATTTTATTTCAAAAAGTAGCTATCAACTCGTCTTTGGTGGAAATTACATAATTTGCATTATACGCAAAGGACATTCTTACTTTTCATCATCATCCAGTCTCCCTCCTTTGATAAGATTCTGCCCATTCTCGGCATAGTCCCACTTGATTTCCATAGCACCTATGTAATATTTCCGTATGGCAGCTGCTTTGGGCAGTGAATTTTCAAACTTCCCACATGGAAGAACATCATAGAACGCTTTCATGCCAGCCATGTAGTGGTCATTTACTTTGCAAACCAGTGCCCATTTTCCAATGTTGTCAGTCATCATAGAAAAGCTAGCTGACGCACCTTGAAAATTCGTAGAAATCATCACCAAAAAAGCAGGATAGAAGTGAACAAGGCTGGGAGTTAAAGAGGATTCACAGTGTCGTCGAAGAGTTTTCTTTCAACGTCATTGAAAATCTTAATGCACATTCACACTAGAAAACGCGAATCATCAGCATAAAAGGAAGCTTCAAGCCGTCATCGTGCTAATCATTCCAGCAAGGCAATCGAGGATCTTTACACTGAACCTTATACACGCAAGATACTCGCCTACGATGACAAGACTTTCTAAATCTTGCAATTAGCTCTTATGCCTTCTGACTTCTTGATTCAAATTAAATCCGTGCGCCAGAGGCCCAAACATTCAAGCTTGTGAAACCCTTTCTTACATGACGTATCAACGTAATTGACGTGAACTTTTCATATCTACCACAGCCTAGAGACATTATGCAGGGCCCAATTCCCAATTGCAATGGTAAGAAGTTTCGTCCGGGGTTAACAAAACTTACTAGGGGGCAATTCCACGAAAAGAAAAGAATTTCAGAAATTTTTCTATCAAAAAGAATATCCAGCAAAATCTTCACGAGATTTGCCTAGAATGATTAGCTCTTCGGACAATACTATACCTATTCTCGCTTTCAGATATTTTTTGTAAGAAATGCGGTCAATGGCGTAACACAGTTCAGAGGACCTTAGTTCGATAACTAAGAGCCCCCGATCAAATGGGGCCCCAAGAAATCTATGCTTCTTGGACTTCGCTCAGATTGACCTTGTTTTCAAAAGCTCTAAAAGTTGGTACCTTGATATGGTGTTTGACATGCTCTAAACTCTCTTTTTTCATTAGCTATTTATAGTTGGTACAATCTCTAGCTATACTCAAGCTAATCAAAACCAACTAATTTAAATGACCAACGCTAAATATAATGTAAATCAAATATAACCGATTTTGCATACGTATTTTTGGATACGTAGCCATGCAGGCCGTAAATAAGCTCCTGTCTTGTCTCAGTTTTCCCATGAGCCCCGGTCTCCTCCGTTGCGCCATTGGATACAGTATTTCATATTAGCTATTTTGAATCATGAAGCATTTGCATGGTAATAAATGAAAATAATACCTGAAATATCAGATTTATTATCTAGGTGCACAATAAAAATCCACCATTCCCACTCAAAGTGGCTGAATGGCTGACCGTCCCAAATGGGCTTGCAGCTAGTGGTGAAGCAGGAGACACAGAAGTGAATACTTCAATTCAAGGTTTTAAGACTTGCCTAATTCTTGTATCGCTAGATCTAAAACAGCAGATCCTTATAACAAACTTTGGCATCGGGGTAACTGAAAAAGATAGTATGTATCAAATGCATCGAAAATTAAGGTGTAATACCTTGGCTTGGCTATCTAATAAATTCAATTAACAGAAAGTAATAAAACAAATGTAAGATTGATAAAATGTTACATACCAGGAAAAAGTGTCAACGAGTCCTTGTGATTTCCTTCAATTTCAAACTCATTTCCATGAAAATAAACAGCATGGATATCTGTCTCAGTCCCAACAACAAACACATGCCATAAAATCTTGCTGTTTTTGCAAAATTTCAGCCCCTGTAGATTCCCATACATTTTTCCATTAATCTGATGCATCTTATTGCTTTCCATAAAATCTTCATCCTCTGGAATGAATTATATTTGATGCAGTTAATATTCCACACAATTCTTAAGATTCACCATAAGCTAGGGGGAAGTCTATACCTTATGAATTTATGAATAGGCATCCCATAACCTGAAAGAGCATCATGAAATACCTCTAAATCTGCAAAGTCAGTAAAAGGTATTACAAAATTGCTGAGGTATGGCCACATGAGCACAGATTATGTCCCCCATCAAACCTCTTTTCTTGAGTCTCTGTCCATGGCTTTATGAACAGAACCAAAATATTGGATATCCGTTAGCAAGCTGGAAATCGTTCATTGGCCATATATCATCTGAATTTTGACACATTGAACTGATTTTGCATATTCAGAAGTATTTTATGGTGGCATTTAGGATTTTGTGGTCAAAATTTAACATAGAATTTTGTAATTCAATATAAAATGGTTCGATATAAAATCCGAATTCAATAAAAATCTAACAATTGATTTATATGACAAACTGACAAACTTTGTACGTCCCGTCTCTCTCCTTTGTATCCCAAACTGTTGTAGTGACCATTGTCTAAACGTAATCATGTCCTCCATTCTGTCTCTGTCATTAACACTTTCCATTGTCTTCGTATCCACGTAACGTAATAAACAACACATTTGTAGCGTCCCCTTGTTATATGTGTATACGCCCTAAATTGTAATAAGTCAGTCAGTAAATTTATCAAGACGCAACGGTCACGCAATATCGTCTCTTGCTGGCTCCGTGTTTTCTGCACGTTAAATCAGACATAAAAACGACAGCATTCGCAACAACAAAACCAAAATTAAATATAGGAACTTCATCAATCAGCGTACCTATACTGTTTCTGCTTAAGTTGTCACCGAAAGATTAATAGGGCGTTATATTTGGTCTGCAAGTCTAGAGGAATGATAGCTGCTCAAACTTTAAGTAATGGTTAATAGCTGTTCAAACTTTATCAAAAATCATTGTCAATCAAAAACAGAGAGTAGTGATAAAAGAAAAGTCTACATTGCAGTCTTATTGTTTTATGGTCTTTCTGTTTCATACCGAATTTTGTATCGTTGTTAGCATTAACAATCCAAGTTCTGCTGTACATAATCGAAATTATAAAATTTCTTTGGTTCACTTCTTATTCCTAAAATGCTACATCAATTTAGTCTTAGCTATACCGTTAATTCTTCCTTAATTTGTTGTCACGATATTAGCCATCTCGGCCTGGAAATCTTTTACACTTCTTTTCATAACAACCATTAAATTAAATTAAATTAAATTGAAGTTCTGGCTGGCTGTTCTTAATCTTATAGAAAGTCTGAGGCTGGATTGTTCTTTTTTTATATTTTTTAAGGTGCAAGCAGTACAATTGTTGGCTATTGCGCTCTAAGGTGGTTTTTAGGCCTCGTTTGCCACCAAAGTGAGTGAGATAGCGACAAGTTTAAAACTTCAAAGAAAAGAACCCTTAGATTGCAAAAGACTACCCGTTTTTTATAAGAGATATGTTAAAAACAACATTTTACAGTAGCTCAGCCTCAGCTTGTTATTAATTTGCTCTTAACTTTTGACCAATTTTGAGGTTTGTGTTTTTTATAAATTTGTTTCTAAGGAAAAGTGTGTATATGAAAAATTAATCAATCGATTAAGAAAGTTGAAAATAAGCAAAATACATAATAATAAAATGAGCTTTTGTAGAATGTTATTGGATGAGTACCTTTGCTGACCCCACCACAAGAATCCGAGGTGCAATACTTCTTCATGTTGTCATCTAAGTACCATGATTTGTTTTCGTCCATCACCGCCATTAGAAGAAATTTCTCAGCATCGTAGCCTTTTGGCATACCATCTGGTTCTATTGATCCTTTCTTGCAAATCACCAACGGTCCCATCAAACCTATACGAGAAATGAACTCTGGTGTTTGATTTCAGGAACGGTAGAATAATAACCGAATAATAATATCAAACTAATAAGCGAAAATTTTGGCAAAAAATTTATCCAAAATTTGAAAACTAGCCTGCTATTGAATGGTAATTGTCAAGAAGACAGAACTAACCAAAATTTGCTACTCTGAAAGCAAAATTTTTAAAATTTAATGCAAATGTGAAAGATAATATGAAAACTTATAGAAAAATTAGCAAGAACGATGTTATATAGTTAAAAAAATGTAAAAAATGATACACTGTAAAAAATCGTTAATATTGTTGAAAAATGTTTTATAACTCTAATATTGTGTAATAAAAAATAAAATAACTAATGTTATCTGATAACGTATTCTTTCACTAATATTATAAAAGAATGTGTAATATCACTAATATTGTATGATAATATACAACAATATCACCAACATTGCATAATAATAAATTATATCACTAATATTGTATATTTTGTATAATGTCTATAAAGTTTGTATATTTATGTATAGCATCTATTTCTGTTGATAATGTTGAATATCTATAAAGTTTTATACTGATGTGTAATATCAAATACCTGAATACATGTCTTTGACAGGATTAACATTCGATGTATAGAGTCTTGCAACACAGGGAGGATCCTTAGCAGTGGGCCCAACACTCTCGTCCACAAACCATTGGTATGTGTACTGAGCGCCAGGATAAACAACATCGTCCTTTTTTGTCGTTGTTTTGTCCTTGTAGCCATAGCCTTCGTTCGCCTTATCGTACCATACTCCACGTGGGTGGATCGAGTAAGCACGACTCGCCTATTAGGGAGAGACAGAAACAATGAGAAGTCAAAGATAACAGAAATTTTGTCTGTTTATATATGGAAAGGCTAATTCAATACGCTCCTTCATAAACAAGACATTTAATTTCCGGATCATTGATATTATTTTTTAATATTTTGTATTAAATGTATCCAGTGATAATGTTTCATTTTACTTTTGATGGTTTTAACTTTCAATATCATGAACTCAACATAAGAAGATTTTCAACTAACTGTTAAAAAAAGGTTAAAATTTTTAATATTGCGCAAAGAATATTTCCAATGCTTTCAAGGTATATAAACAGGAATAAAGCTATGTAGAGCACAAATGAAACACCGCTATGGCATTGGCTTTTGAATGGTTTCGAAAGTTGTGGACACGGAAACATTTTTATCTCAAATCTTTGGTTAGCTACTCAGATCAAATTATTACTGATGATAAATATCGCTGCAATTCCCTCCTAAAATACTTTAAAAGATTATAGTTGCGATACCTTAAGCGCTTCTCAGGAGCCTTGCAAACGGGAATAAGGAAATGGGCCTCGAAGATTCGTTTATGCAAAGACCGAGATACAACTTTTTGTTTGAGGGGAAGGCAACCCTGATAAGTAGTGTAACAACAGCCATATTTGATAAAATAAAAGTATTTTTCTTATGCTGCTTAGGTTTTTTGGAGAGGCCAAGTCTCCCCTGACCTTAAAGCATTCAGTAAAATCTGCAGCCAAACTTTTCATCTATTTGAAACAAGACGTGCTAGAATTGGTTCTGCTTGACATGATAAACATCATGAATCTTCGTGCCTCTTAGGTGTGATAAACTTATCTGAAAGGTAGGTTGAAGGGGAGAGGGGGTGGGGGGGTGTGCGACAAAATCGAAAATTATCAATGCGTTTGTTGGTAAATCTTCTGTTGGTCAACAAAATCGCTAGTTGGCCAGCTGAATTTCCAAAAAGGCAGGAAGGTAGAATAGAAAATTCAAGTTTTTCTTCCCCTATGTCTTTCTAGAGTAAACTTTGCTCTTCTAGATCCTCCATTCTCCCTTCAGCCATTGGGCTAGCAGGGGCTATAGCCCCCCCCCCCACCTTTACGAAATAAAAGGCTAGAAAAGTTTTTGGAAGTTTTACCCTAACGCAACTTTGGATAGTTTACTCCCTATGTAGTAGCAGTTTTTCTTGACTGGAAACCCTTTTTTCATTTTCTAAGTGTTTTATCTTGTTCAATGATATGGTGTATTTCCTAATTTGGTTAGCTTAGTGTTTTATTGCTAATTTTATCTATTTTTATAGTTATTGATATCTTCTTTAAACCAGACTGTTTATAGAAGTTAAGTAGAAGTGAGCGAGTGTTTTTGAGGAGAGGCGTAAATGAGCACACCCATTTCAGCCCCTCCACTTCTAGATTGATGTGAGGTCCCTGCCTTACATAAGACTTTCCTAAATTAATGAATGCTTATCGCTTCGTTAAGACGTACCTTATTTCTGAACACAACACTGATTATGTCGCCGACTTCTGCCTTGATAACTGGGCCTAGCAAACCTAAATGTATCTTGCCTGGGCTTCTTAGCTTTTTTCTCGTAAACGTGGAATCTTCATACTGGACATAACGTGCTTTCAGATAGGTACCACCGATTCTATTTGTTCCTCTCTCAAAGAAAGTAGAAGCGCTGTGGGGATACAAATATCAAATTTTGTTGAAACCAAGTTATAAAACCAAGGACTTTGTGGAACAAATAAACTAATACAAATTGTGGCACTATTGCATACGAAAGATAAATTAAAAATCTGACCAGACTAAAAAGGTTTTTGACAGCATTCTGTACATTTTGTACGCAGACAATAGAAATAAAGTATTTCAAGCATAACTTTTTATCTTTAGTCACTTTAGCCAAGGGTTAAGATATAAGGTTAAGTTTACTGTAAGCAGAATTTTGTGCACCCTTTGCCCCCTTGCTCATTGGGTGTGCAATGAGCTAAGTTGGAACGCGAAAACATCCCTATGGGGTCACAATTTTTTTAGTACCATTATTTGATGGGATCCTAATATTCTGCCCTTGAGTATACTAAGAGCAATGTCCTGTTTAAATTGCACAAAACCTACCCAAGTTACATCCAGAGGTGTTTCTATAAGAAAGTAAGGTAAGCCTTGGTTGCTTTTGAAGTGCTCGTAAGTGACTACCAAGTGTTGCGTGCACACTACACTTGATTAAATTTATCCGGGCTCAGCCTACCTCAAGTTTACGCTGTATGCTAAACCGGGTACACCCAAGATCGGTTCCTTTAAACTACCAAAATGTATCTCTGTTCGTTCACCCTGAGTTACCTCTGAGTTAATCGGAAATTTTTAAGCAGTGCTCATAATAACAATTCTTAAACTTGCCTCCCTGAGTTAAGCGATCCTCCGTCAAACATATTGTTATTGGTTTCTGCATAAGACCAAGGCTGCTCCTCCACAGCGATGTAATATTCCTTGACCTTTCCTGTAACTGATGGTTTGTTGATTTTGCCATTGTATCCGCAACGCTTTACGTTGTAAAATGCGAACATTCCGCCGTCTAAATGGTCAGCAACGTTACACGAGAATAACCAACGGCCAGGCTGGTTCGGTACCATGATACCGGAGGCAGTTCGAGCAGGGAAGAGGGACACAAAGTCGGTGTGGTGATGGTCAATTTGAAGCATGTTGCCATTGAATACAGCTGTTAAGAGAAGAAAATCGAGAATAGAAATTCTGAGGCTACAATCACATTTGTAGAAAACCAATTATCTTTTATTGTTGCTAGTAACTAGCACAGTAAAATCTGAAGAAAGCAACTCAGTCAAACAACAAAGTTATTCTTTTAGTCACAAGCTATAGCTATAATTTTGACTTGGTAAGAATCATATAAAAAAATGATTATAAATAAAATATAGATTATAATAATATAGGCATGATCAAGTTTTGAGATTTACCTACAATGGCCGAAATTGTTGATACTATTTAGGGCATAACTCTGGACCAAAGGTAATACAAGCAAGTCAAGGCTACGTACCTGTATGCATGTCAACTTCATTTCCTAAAACCCCAAGATACCAAACAACCTTTTTATTATAACAGACATTCAATTCTTCCAGATTTCCAAAAAATCTGCCATTTACAGCATGCATTAGATTACTTTCCATGAAATCTTCATCTTCTTTGTCTATCGTTTTTGGGTCGATGTTATTGAGAATCAGGTTTTCATCTATGTACCAACTCTTGTTCTCATCAAATACATTTTGCATTAGAAACATCTCCCTCTCCGGGGGTTTGTCGTAACTTCCTTTCTTGCAAACCAGCAGAAGGCCTAATGATATAAAAAATTGACTTTAGACGATTCTATGTTAACTTTGATTGTAGACAATATCAAAAAACAAAAACCGCAGAGGTAGGAAGCATTTCAAAAGGGGGGGGGGGGGGGCACATGTAGTCAAAATAGAGGCGACTCTGTAAGCTGCAAGTAGGTACTTTGCCACTGTTTCTGAAAAACAGGGAGAGGCATATACCCCCTGTGCCTCCCGATTCCTGTGTCTATGACAAAAACTTTATAAAAATCATTAACAGGAAATTTGGAAAACTATCCCAGAGGGTAACTTAAATAGGCAGAGGACGTGGATGTACCGTTTTGAATAGGTGAACATACCCTGAAATCAACAAATTTTCCAAAAATCCTATCCCAAAACTTAGTTAAGATAGGAAATGCATAACCTTAAATTAAATTCAAATTTGCAAAAATCCAGCAACTCAATTAAGTAAATGAAAACATTTTACCTTTTTACTGGAATGATACCTCAGAAGTTGAGGTTATGCTAAAAATCAATTCCAAAAATTTATGACCATGTTTTAATATACCATGTTTTAAGTCGATGCCTCAAAATTTATTTCCTACTTGGAAAAAGGTCACCTCAGCCATGGGGGAGGGAACAGTGGGAGCAGTGGCCCCCCTTGCCCACGCGGAATTAATCTATTTTTCTTCGTTCTAGTATTATTTTGCCCTTTTTCTTAGCGCTTTTCCCCCATTGCTCTCTTTGCATGCAGGCTTCCCTGAATACATGTAAACCATGTAACACCTACCAATAAGTCCAGTGTTTATATCATGTGGCACAGCTACATGTGAATGGTAAACGGATGCAATACAAGGTTGATCTCCTTTAGTCGGTCCATTTTCGGGGTTTATTTTCCAGGTATAAATGTAAGTGGCACCAGGTGGTACTGCTCTATCCATACCATTCATGGTATTGTCCTTGTAAACGGAGCCTTCTGAAGACTTGAGATAACTTAGGCCATGTGGATGCATCGTAAAATTCAGTTGCGCCATATTCTGGGGAAAATAAAAGACTTGTACACATTACGTATTACAAAAATACTGACAAATAACATGACCAATCTTGGTAACAAATTTTAAAACAGCACTGAAAGTAGTATGTGCAAAAAATCATTCTGTTCAATTTACCTCAGATTGAAACAAAGAAGACAAAATCTATAATAATAATGATGATGATGTATAATAATGATGGATTTATCCAAAGCATTTGATTGCCTCTCACATGACCTCTTAATTGCTAAACTACATGCGTATGTGTTCAGCAACAATCTCTGATGCTATTACAAAATTACCTAAAGGAGGGAACACAAAGAGTGGAAATTAATACTCAAACAAGCACGTGGGAAAATGTTACACAAGGAGTCCCACAGGAATCAGTTCTTGGCCCCCTATTATTTAACATTTTTCTAAATGATATTTTCTATTTCATGACTACAGAAAATCTTTGTAACTATGCAGATGGCTATACAATATGGACAGTAGGTAAAAATGTTGATGATATAATATATAAATTAGAAACAGAAGTAGCAACTCTAAATAAATGGTTTAAGGATAATTCATTGTTACTAAATGAAGAAAAATGTAGCTTTATGATATTTCAACATAAACAAACCAGAACTGAAAAAGCAAATACTAAAATAGGAAATGCCACAATTGAAGAGACAAAAAAGGCCAAACTACTTGGAATAACTTTTATGGATGTATTGTAGCCGCAAATCTGGAAAACGTATTGGAAGTATCCATGAAAGAGCACTGAGAGTGGCTGACAATGATTTTGAATAAAGTTTTGAAAATATTCTCTCACAAAAAAATGATGTCAGAATACATCAAAAGAACCTATTAAACATCACGATTTTTCTTAGTTATATTTGTTATTGTTACAAGTTGGTGTTGATTAGCTGTTTATTAGCTATTATTTTGTAAACCAACATTAAATAAAGTGGATAAAAAAATCTTGTAAAATGGAACAAAGTGACTAAACTAATACTAACATAAGGCGATATCTAATATAAGTTTGCGCTCCCGTGAGCATGCTGTAAGCATTTCTCAGCAGTCGTTGAAAATTTAACAAATCCCCATTGCAATGCCTATATTTCATAATAAAAATGGCAATAAGACAAAAACCTGAAAGCTTTGCTCCCCAAATCTCCATCACGCCCGCACACAGTTTACCATCTGCACAGACTTATGATTAACGAGGCCCAAGATTAACAGACTTATGGGCCAAAATTCGATATGAAAATATTTTTATTAAAAAAGGTTAATTTTATTTCCAAACTGTTAATGATACAACTTGACTTAAACAACTGCCAAATAATCATGCTAAAAAGTTTCTGTTAAAACATCTTTTTATGTTTGCGCTTTTGAAATAAAGCAAATAAACGGCTTAGTAGCTGCAGTACAAAGCTGCTGGGGCTTGTTGAACCCCATTTCAAGTAAATTCCCCGGGTTTTCCTATACAGACTACCAGCGTTATGGTTGGGATTTTCAAAGGAAATGTGCAGTTTTGGAAAAATTTCGAACTAGGCCCTGAATTGCATGTAAAACATACATGATAAAGTGATTCACACAAAATTCACCCCCTAAAATTCGGAGGAGGAGAGTTAAGGAGAGGAGCGAAGAAGAGGACTGGAGACGGGGGAAAGCAAAGAACAAGACAGAGCTGAGAGGGATTTCAGAGATCATAGAAGCAATCAGCCTGTAGATCAAAATCAAATATGTGATCTATTGGTATAATAGAGAACTTTCCTTGCCCTTATTTTCTAATCCATCTTAACCCCGTTGGACATGATACAACTAACAATAGACAGTGCTTCCACTTTCCAATAACAAGATTTAGATATTTTTCTTTAAGGTTCAAATTTCCCTTAATAAACAGGTATTTCGTTTCCTTTACAGGTATTTCCTTTTGATTTTCGTACAAAAACGTCAAGCACATACCTTGAAAACTATCAACAGCACATCACCAACTTCACCCCTTATAACAGGACCAAGAATCCCTAGATCCTTTCTATGTGGCTTCCGCTCTGTGAATGTCTTGTCCGTGAATTCGCGGTATACCGTTTTCTTGTAAACTTTTCCAATGCGATCTTTGGATTTCATGGTAAAGACAGATGCTTTTCTGAAAAAAAGGAACATTTAAACAATCATTTCCGTAAAACTGCACTAGATTGGGGCAGGGGCGTTGTGGCTCCTAAAAAAGGACTGGGAGAAAATGATCATAGGGGAGCCCGCTCTTTTGTTTGACATCTCCAATCACAAACCACAGGTCCCCAAAAAAGTACCTACCTGGTAACCATGCAACAAAATTCAAAGATGTCAGAATGTTTTTACAGTCGCTTACCACGTTTTACAATTTTTAGGCATACTTTGTTGCGCTTCGTTAAAATTCAGTTCTCGAGGCCCTGGGACAGTTTGTCCCTCCTTGTCCCCCTCTCGGTGGCCCTATTCATATTCAAGGCATCTCTTTCACAGAAGCCTGTTTGTATATGATGACATCCTCTAATTCAAACTGTGAACTTGAGAAAACATGTAATTGAGACGTTTTCTCACCAAAGATTTTATTCAAATTAAATAATTTCCTGGGTATTACAAACTCACTTGAAAGGGGCCTACCAGGAAATTTCCCGGTGTCCTGCCTAGCTATAACGCCCCTGGGTTGGGGAACTGCGGCCAAGGGTAAAAAGTTGCCTGGCGTGTCCACTTTCATTGGGTGGTGTACCCGAGCTCATCCAAGAAATATAAAGACCCTTTCTTCTGACGTCTATGTGCACTTTTCATACCCTCTTCATTGAGCTTTAATACTAAATAATAATGAACTTTGTAGAAAAAACAAAATGCATAGGACTTCCTACTCCGCTATTGATAATTACTCTTGATATTGGCTAAAATTTTTCTTATTGTAGAATGCTTAAGTTCTAGTTACATGCTTCTTATTTCTATAGGTTTATAGGTTTGCCTAGTACTCAGGGTATCCAGAATGGTAATTAGTGAAAAAAGCACACATTGTAAAACAAAGCAGTCGAAATTTCTATTATAAATTGCAAATGACTTTTCCATGTTTCTAGGTTTGAAGAAAGGAATTGCACCTTTCCCAGAGGCTTTCCGGATGAGCTTGGCTACACCTCTGAATGAGAGTGGATACGCCGGGCAAAGTTGCGTGGTTCAGAGGTTGGGCCATCATTGCCCCAGGCTCCCATTGTTCTTCTCCTAGCATTACATCCTGCAATGTAACCCCCTTAAAGTTGGCACAGCAGATAGAATTGGCGATAACCAACAAATGATTTGCGAAAATGGCCAAATGCTAGTAATGGCAAGGATTAATACGATGATTAAACGTATTCATTATGTATTGAACAAAGAACATTGGATTAATACTTCCAGCTAGCGATTCTTTGAGACTGCAAGCTAGATGACTTGCAGCGATGAAAGTCAAGATATATTATGCAAGGGAAAACTCACGGATCCTGGTTCAAAGGCCGTCCTGTTTTCATGTTGAGGCCTGACGGAGCGTAGTCCCATAGGGAATCAACTGCACCAATGTAATAGACCCTTGTTTTGCATTCGCATGGCCACAATAACAGCACCAAAATGGCCTGAAATAGTAACACAGCTTTCAATGCCATCTCGTCCTCTATGCTTGTCTCCAAACTTGGAACTAGCGCAAGTCTTAAAACATCCACCAAGTCAAGGATATCACCATTCTGTAAATGGATCTGCGGTTAACATGGAATGCATAGAAATTATTGGACAATAATCATCTGATACAGCCATATCGGTTGTTTCCAGGGGCATCCAGGTGATCGAATTCTTGGAGAGGGGGGGGGGGAGATAACATATTTTTTGACCAATTTTTGCAAAGGATTATGGAAACAGTTAGTTGTCAGTTAAGGGTTGTTGTTTTAACAATTTTTCACTCGAGTTCTCCAACATATTCGGAGCAAATACATAACAACGTTCCTTGGGAATTTTTAACGTTGAGTGAAAATTAAACATGCAATGGACCATTGATAATGGCTGGACCATTTTTGGCTGGATAAACAACGCGTTATGAACAACTTTGCATTGTCTACCTTTTAGCCTTAACAAGAGCAGATAGGTCTAAAAACCCACTTTAGACCTACAACAGGGCTTAGGGGGGGCTTCTTTATGCTGAAGAGAAGCCACCTTCTAATTTTGCTATTGTTTTAGCAACATTTTTTGCAAGAGCCTCCTTTGCTATGTTGAGAGCACTCCACCCCTGTTCTACACTTCTTTGTCAATGGTCCATCTATTGTCGTAGCGATGGCCCCAGGCCCCGCGCTTATGATAGCCAAAAGAGGCCCCACAACTAAAAAGAAAAGGAAATTGAAAAGAACAAGGGCGCCGCAGATGTTTTTGGCCCCGGGCCCCGCAGTCCCTAAAACCCCAACTGCATATTTCTATTGCTTTATGATATAAATCAACAAATACCATATGCACATATGATAACAAATATAGACTGCATTTCATTTGTTTGAATATCGTTACATGTCTGGGAGGAGAGGGGGTACAATTGAGAAGGGGCTTTCCGGAAGATACGGGTTGCTTTTGACGGTAGGCAATGTATTAAAAGTTACTAGTTGATATTTCATTTAATGTCTCATTAACTTTAGTTTAATAAAGAAAGACAACATAATTACATGCATGTCGATGTTGTAATGTTAATTTGTTTGGGAGAAGAAAAGAAAGTTCTTTATGAGTGAGGCAGCCCCCGTCTTGGAGTCAAATGCATGGGTATGGTACTTGATCATTTTCTTCATGCCCTCTGACTCCAAGATGGGGGTCAAAGGTCGTCTCTCTGAATGAATGCATCTAGCTCGGGAAATACTTGCTGTTTGGAAAATTGATATAACAACTTGCTCAAACCAGCAACCGGACGATTTCGATATTGGCATCCCCCTTATTCGGAAGTTTTCAATGAAAAGCTTCCTAAAAGCGAGACAGAAATGAATAAACTCACAAAGATTAACTAAATGGCCTAGCCAAATATGCAGTCAAGAATACGTTTTTTATGAGAAAGTATTTTATAAGAAATTAATGCTCGATTCTTCAAATAGCTAAGCAAGTGTAGGACGGAAAATTAAAAGGTGAAAAGTTGAAACAAACCAAAGAAAGTTGAAAGATTTAATCTTGCAAGAGTGAAATATTTCTTGTGTTTTGGTGTGGAAACGTTTTGGTTCAAGAGTGAAGTAGATTTTAGTGCAGGAATTCGGAAATAGCTAAGAAAGTCTTATAGGTGAGCTGAAGAAAACTTTTTATAAAAAACGTGTTAAATCGAATTTCAAAGGCAGACTAATCATATGAACTTTTCTGTGATTTAAAGTCAGATATAGAGAAGCCAGAAGAGGCTTTTTTCATGGGATTTCATAATTTATCAAGAAAATTTCATATAGTGTACTTTTCTCATTGCTGACCTTGGAGAATTTCACATACTTTTCCAAGGCATTCAAGTGCATGAAAAAGAGGGTCCTAGAAGAACCTTGAGGAATACCATAGACAACGTTTCCTATTTTCGAGCGTTGCCAATTTAGAGAGTAGAACTGCTTTATATTATTTAAGAAAAATTTATCTAAAACAAATCTCCAGTTTTCCTATATTCCATATTCATGTAATTTTATTATCAATACAAAATTTTGAGAAGTTTTCTGAAGGTTGAGAAAAGTTTATTGATATTGTTGCTTTGACTTTGTGCCAGAGGTCTGTGTTACTGAAGTAAAACGTGCAACAAGCTGCTTGATTTTCTGTAGAACCTTAATCATTTTAAGTATACTCAAAGAAGTAGTCGTACGTTTGTCGTTCTCCTTGAAACCAGAGATTACAAAAATGGGCCTATTATTGTTTATATAAGTTTTTGAACCCGACTTGACAACTGGGGTGACGGTTAATTTCCAAATACTGGTGCAAAATAAATGTATAAGCTAAATGCATGTGATTCTGACAACACGTGGTATACTTGTAAATAAATATGGCAAGATCACACGACTTAACCATAAACCGATTATTACATCTTGACATCACCTTCATCCGGAATCTTTCCAAGAAAAGTTTTCTAAAAGCAGAGCAAGAAGGAATGACAGGGCCGTCGCTGTCTGTTGTGCTCAAGGGGGCTGCTCCGATCCCATTGCCGACAAATTTGGTGAAGCATCCTTTATTTGCAGACAAATGAGAAAATTTGACAATGACGTTTTACAATGAAATTTTTCCAAGGGGGATGTCTCACTGTGAGCTATCCATTGTGGTTCTAAGCCATACAAAGATTTGAATTACACCATCCTTATCGGTGTTCTATTTAGTACAAGAAACTTGGATTGGATAATCCTTCAGTTACATCTCATAGATCGTGAAGAATTAAGTTTTGAAATGCTGGCTGTACTGCAAACACGGGCATTTGTGTTCAAACTGCAGCAGCTAAATTCGACGAAGTATCAAGCATCTGTGTACCAATTTATGCAAAATCTAAAAATCAACTTATTGGGCTGGAAAAATTTTTTACTTTTGCCGATCCAATTACTATCTTTCTTAAAAAGCACTTTTCCAAAAATTTGATATAGTCCACAAATTGAGAGTTTTTCGTCGTCTTGCTCTTGGTTTTCGATTCTTACTGAGTGCTTTTACTGAGTGCGTGAGAAATTTCTTGGGTTTGAGAACAATTAAACCATTGGCTAGTTCAGCTGAGGCATCGGGAAACACGAAAAGCGCACACTACTTAGGATAATGAGCTATAAGGTATAAGAAAATCGACACAGTGTTACTCTAAATTAAGTAATACTTGTTAGCAAACATGAATAAGCAATTAATGCCCTATCTACACAGGGCAGTAGAAGAAGAATAAAGATTAGATATAATTTTAGTGTGAGAATTTGCACATGACAATAATCTGCTACAATAACAAGCACCGAATATAAGATTTTGCAATAAGAGAAAACTACTCGTGTGACCTAGTCCGGTATTGTTTATCCGGATCAGGTGTGACCTAGTCCGGTATTTTTATGAAAACTTCAACAACAACCTCAGCGAATTTAGAATTACAAAAACAACAGCATATTATAACAATGTCACACCGAGCAACTGAACTCTGAGAGAAATACTCACTCAGCAGAATTCTTGTCCATAATTTGCCATGATAAGCAGTTATTCGTCCACTTCCAATAAACTTTGAAGTAAATTTGAATCTTTCGCTTGTCTTTTTCCTCCTAATCAAAAGCACTCCACATTTTAACTTCAGATTTCACTTCTACCAATCACATGGAAGGCTTGGGGCTCTGACTGGCCAAAACTAAACCTACTTAAATTACTTTTTTTCTATTGGCATAAGTCTATTGTATCCGTGTTCAAAACTCAGTCGTGTTTTATTCCGAGGCTTATTTTCTGCAACGAGGCTCCAATGAACAGTCTATTTGTACGCTCTTTTGCGCCGCCTTGAGTCTTGTGGGAATACTAATAAATGTGTCCAAGAAAGTTATCTTCAACCTTATGATATCAGATGATATCAGATGATTTAAAGATTAAACGATACATACCTGTAATTTGTAGTTTGATTGCAATTCCTCTCTGCCGACTTAGGTGGTGATAGAGAAGAATAATGTTTAGGCCATTTGAGCAAGTTTGGATATTTCAGTCTGAAGTTCGCTTTTTTAACAGAAATAATGACTTTCAATGAATTTAAAAACCCAAGAAACATTAATATATTGCTTCATTGTAAGCAAACTTACGTCATTCCAACTTTTATAATACTATTTAAAATATTAATCTTAAATTTTCTATTTAGCAAAAATGTTGTATATACCAGACGGAAAGAGTTGAATTAAACAGTTTGTGCAGACGTACTGCAGGCTTCAGAAAGTTTATGAAGAGAAAGTTCAGATTTCGAGCTGAAATTGCCAGCTTTTCTAACAATAACATTATAGCTCTTGGATTTCTTAGGGATTGACTCAAATTTTGTCTTAAGCAACTTCTTACTATAGAAGTTATGCAACAAAATGTTGTTGTGAAGAAAAACCGAGATATTTTCATAAACAAAGGAAATTACAAGAACTGCAATGTCGCGGAATGTACGACATAAGTGTAAAGGTACGCACAATATTTTCTAACACAAGAATATGACAGATGCCCCAGTCCTGCCTAAACAGAGTTTCAAAATCTTCTTTCATTCTGGTCGACACAAGCGTCCTCTGGCAACAGCTGGAGCATTCATAACTGTTCTGTACTTGCGCTGTCTTTTTTACGCTTCTCATAGTCATGAATAATTTACAACATTGATATCAACAAGTGAAGACGGCAAGCAAAATCTCAGATACTGCATCCACCACAGACAAGAAGGCAACTGAGGAACAACTTATCTTTCAAGATGAGAAGACGCTTTCTATTTCAAAGCGCTGCCTTCATCACACTGCTCCTTCAAACAGGGCTGCAATCACTAGCGAAAACAAAATATTATTACGTCGCAACTGTCGATATTTCTTGGGATTATGCACCACATGGAATCAATGAACTCAATTCTAATCCTTTAGAGAAAGATGCGTGAGTGTTTGATTTTTTTTCTTTTACTTTTTTTCTCAACACAGCGTTTTGTTGATAGCGACATACATGAGTCATAACTGCATTCTATTATTTTCTCATCCTAATCATCAAAGTGGGTTGAAGAACTAATATCTGAGGGGAGTTTTAAAACCTTAGGTTGAATACACACAAATTTTCTCGCTATTTAGCAAAATCTGAAGCTGACAGCTTTTCTAAAAATTCATCAAAATTTCTGACGACTTGTGGAGAAAAGCTGTGGACAAAATTTGCTGTCTCGATTTTCTTGAGAACAGAACAATTTCAAAAGCTATTCAACTTTCAAAAGATTTTATATCAAACAAAAAATCAACTGACACGAGAAAAGGTTATTTTGACATAATCAAAGAAAAATTTTGCTTGCAACGAAATATTCTGCAGCTGATTGCCATGCTTATAATTAAGCAGTAATTTTCCGCTAGCATTACTTGATTTTCTCCACAAGGTGGGTTGTTTTACCTCATGGTTCACATTTGAACTCTGTTTAGTAAGTGTCAGAGACGACCGGACACAGTTGAAGCAGCTGTAAAAAATATCGCATGGTGAACTTTGACAAAATTACTACGAAAAACTGATCTTCAAGCCTTTGGGAGTCTCGAGTCATCTAAAACCTCTCATCTAAAGAGCTCTGAATCACAAAGTCTTGACCACGATTGATCGTAGTTCCATCTAGCTTTCACTATGATAAGAAACAATTATGCAATACACAGTGAGATCGAGTGAAGACCCATTATAAACTCATTGTAGAGGACTTGTCTTTCCTTAAATAATTGTCGATCAGTCACTATGCCGTGTCTTTAAGAGCAAATAATGCAGCGGTCTTTTTAGGGCCCAGACTCGAAGGCAAAATACATTTACAGAAGAAAAAAGCATGATATCCAACATCTACTATCAATTATTTATCGTAAGTGGAAAAGTTTCCATCAGTAATTTAAGAAAGATGCATTAATAAAGAGATAACTACCTTCGGAAGATTTTCGATTCAAAAAAAGATGTCCGAAATTTTTTCCATAAACATTTATGTTCGTTCTTTAATATGTCCAAAATTTGCGCTGAAGAAATAAAGGATTATCAGAAACTGAACAACTGAACTGATATCTGATAGAAAGAAGGATACACATTCGACATCATTTTCTTCACAACGATCAAACAAAACCTCATTATCCTTTTTCACTTTGATGGCGAGTATCTTATGGCTTTACAATACAGAATAGGCTATAGCCCACCAATATATGGGTCCAGGAAAACTGCTTTCTTGTCATACAGACAATTTTTCAAAGCCTGTCAAGGTTTAAAAAGGCCCGCGTCATCTGAAAGTCGTATTGAATATTTGATGAAAATATTTTGTAATAAAACTTTTGCAACTGATACTTTCAAACCCTTCGAGGCTTGCAAAAGGTCCAAAAAGCTTGGTGCAAAAAAGTGTTACTCATTCTCATTAAAAGGATCCGCTATAAAGGGTTGCTATGCTTGCATCCGTTGATCACCTAACAAGCTTTGATCAACACGACTTGGGGGTGTGTCTTGTCAATTGCTGTTATCAGCTTAATCAACTTATCATGTCTTCTTCATGCCCCATTATTTATCATAAATTCCACTTCTAGAACGATTTCAGCGATTCATTATAACCCCTCCCCATAAAGTTACCATCAAGACCTTATACGAATGTATTAAATCTAGGAAATTCTAAATCGAAATGGTCACAACTTCGGGAACTATGTAACTAGGCACGACTTAAAGATATATGATCAGTTTCAGGGAGTGATAGAGCGTGAATTTTCAGTTTTACAAATTATGGAGTTTTTAATCTATAGTCCCCTGAACACGATCTAGCAAAGTTGAGAAGATATTCTTTAAAATATGAGATATTTTCTTATTGAGAATGTATAAGAAAAACGCTTTAAGATATCTCGATACTCGATTATGTTAGTAGAAAAATTCTACGATTTGCCCCCAACACCAACACTGCTCCTCCTGCCCTAATCTTGTGCAGGCGTCCCTGATTCATATTTCCTGGAATTGATAGAACATATTCTCCAATTAAGCACGGTTTTGAAATCCAGCTGCAATACAGACGCCAAAATTCGCGGTTTTGCTGAAAAACTCCCGAGCTAGCTGTTCACCAGCAAACAAGAAAAAGTAGCAATGCCGTTTAGACATATGCATGATAATCTATGTAAGTAAATATGCGCAAAGAACTTTTGTGGCTGACAAAATGAGCAACACAAGTAAATATGCGCAAAGATCTTTTGTGGCTGACAAAATGAGCAACACAAGACAGCTGCAAAGCAAGACAACTTTAACGTGCTTGAAATCATTAGGATGTAAATCATGGTAACAAAACAATTTGTTCTAAACAATACACCTAAGGTTAAGGTTATGATGGTGACGAAGAAATGGGAACTTTATTTCTTACTTGGCAGTGATATGCATGAACAGGAAATCTTCCTTCGTTGGTAAATTGAGCCCTCGGACAAAACCAAGAAGGCCGAGAGAAATTGGATCGCCTTGCCGTTGACTGTGCTTGCTGTAATTTCGTATTAAACGAGGGGCCAATGCCTCACGAAAATTACATTCGCTGTAACCTTGCGTAGTCCCATGAGGTTTCTGGCAAGTATCAAAGAATACATCACAAGTGAAAGTGCATGAAATCGATGCTCGCTTTCAATTTAGGCGGTAGGTGGATTCCCAAGTGACTTAACGCCAGTCGACCTCGTGCATTGAATCAGAAAAGTTTCGATAAGTTAATATTGATGACTTTGAGTAAAGAACTGACGATTTACGTCTTGGAATGGATTTTCCAACAATCTCATTTTAAGCACCCCCCCCCCTCCCCTCCCTAAATTCTACAGAGGCTTATTAGAGGATTTACAGTACACGGTACCCTGGGTATGGGTACCAGGCTTACTCCATAAATCCATTATTTATACACAATAAAAAGTGTTTTCAAGCAAAAGAGATAAATTTCTTTTTCTTACACCATGAAAACTTAAGAATAAATTGAATAAAATCCACCCTAAGTTGTGAAATAATGAGCCCCATTTTATATCGTCCTATGGTAGCAGGCTTCATATATAGACCCTATTTCAAATCGGTTTTGGAAAAGTTACCTGGAGGCGGCTGAGGGGCAAATAACTCTATGAAAATTCCGTACAACTTTGGCGGAACTCATATTGCTATAATTGCAAAAGTGATATGCACCTCGGACCAGTCGAGGTCAGTCTGTTGCCATCCCTCCCTACTGGTTCCATGCCATGCTCCATATAAAACATACGCCTTTAAAAACAAGACAAAAGTTTCTGTTTATTCAACTGTCATCATTCTTGCTGTGAGCCAACGGATCCTTTGCTGCTGTAACAAAGCGCTTTTCTTTACCAACATTTCACATTAAAAGAGGAAGCGATGCACTTTAATTTCATATTCCACTGGTACCTGGCTTTCTTCTGCTTGCAAAATGTCGACGGAAAGCGAAGAGTTCATTACGTTGCTGTCATTGACACCATTTGGGATTATGCGCCAGCTGCATTGAACATACGCAATGGCATTGCGCTCGATGCAGATAGGTATGTAAATACATAACTGATAAATATTCTAATTAACTTCTTGTCATACGTTCCAAGGAGCTTTTTTAGGGAAATTAACGAATCATCGCTTTTCCAGGCCAAGAGTTAGCTGTGTTACGAATATGACTTTCTGTATATTGTATCTACCGCGTCATATATACCAAGCCTACTATCGTTCTAATTTTCCGCAATATTGCATCCCTTCCTTTGGCCAAATTCGTGTTTTTCCCAAGGCTTTTGAGTAACTTGAAGAGAGAATAAAGGGAGAGAAATAACAGTTGACGCGACAGAGAGTTGACAGGCGACAGGCTACTTTTTTTGGTGTCCCCCACCCCAAAACCGTAAATCCTCGAATTAGCCCCCTGGGGCTTATTTATATTTGATATTTTTTGGATGGGGGCTTATTCGAGGGGGGGGGGGCTTATACGAAGAAGGGACTTTAAAAATGAGTGTGAATGGCAGTCTGCTCGATAGACTCCAAGGAGTTCTTGCGGCGAAGAATCGATGAAAATGTAGCAAATAAGAAACACCGCAAAAATAAACAGAGCAAAAAAGATGAAGCCCCGTATGCCGGGGCGGAAATTAACCTTCACTATTTTACGTGTATTTATTGTTGCTCATTCTCTTCGCATTGCGGTGTTTCTTATTTGCTACAATATCAAAATATCTCGTTTATTTTATCATATCGCGCCAAAGACAACCTCAGAGAGGACCAAAAATCAACAAATTAAGGGGTCCAATTCTAGAATCTACGGTAGCAGTGGGGGCTTATTCAAGTGAGGGGGCTTACTGACAATTTGTAGTTCAAAGGTGGGGGCTTTTTCAAGGTGGAGGGCTTTTTCGAGGGGGGGGGGGCAATACGGGGATTTCAAGTATTTGAGTAGAGAACCGGGGGCATATCACTCCAAGAAAATCTCGTACGCCTTTAGCAAAAAACCTTTTGCTTTAAAAAAATCCCAAAAAATCCTATTGCTGTAAAAGAACTCGCACACTGTTCGAAAAGAACTATGCACCCTTGGTTAAAACCATATCTCGCTGTATTTTTCATCAACAAAGTATTTCTAAAATTTCATGTGGAAAAGAGGAGAGAGGCCACACTTTTAGTATTCATACTCAATTGATACCCAGAACTCTTTTACATGCCCACGTCCAGAAGGCAGGGTTGAATCAATAAGCTTCATATTGCTGCGGGTAAGATGGGTAAGAGTCCTCTATACTTACTCCATGAGCCTCTGATTCGCTACTGCCTCACTTGACGGACGCTACAACAGAGGCAGTAGCGAAACAGAGGCTCATGGAGTAAGTCTAAGAGATCTCTACAAAAATCTTCAGAGAAAAAAGATGCTATTTTCACAGATAATTGTAAAGACCTGCAGGGAAGCTTAAGAGTGCTTTGTAGCAGCAAAAAAACAAACTAACGGCTTTTAGCAGAGTTGCCAGCAAAAACAATTCACGACAGTCTAATTTGGATATGGCAGCACCAGCACAAATACCTAAATACACATATGTATATGTTTTATCGTGGCTTTGTTCTTATAAGTTGCTTTAACCCCTCAAATTACTTGGATGACCCATAATAGGTGGTGTTAGTATGGATTTCGTATGGAAAATATGTGACAGGAGGAAAGAGGCTACGCTTTTATGTATATACTTTTAACTTTGTCAATTTCTCTCCTGATTATGGGTAATCTTCAATTCTTTTGCGCGTCCCTGTGCTCACAGGATAAGGCCTACTATGAACTGTCTGGATTCTGAGTTTTTTGTATCCATAGAAAGAGATCTTTGCATTGGCATCGATGTATGTAGTTGAAAAACCTGATGAATGCACTGAACAGGTCGTTTGTTGACGTTCTGACTTCAAAATTTGAAAATATGGGGAAAAAATGAAGCTAACGACGCACACAGACAGATTTTCAGTTGCGTTCATGCTGCTTTGCAATAGCCCTTGCTGCGAGCAGAATCGATATCTGAGAGGTGCGTGAGTAAAAGCGCATTTTCCGGTACTGATGGAAGAAAAAGAATTCCATGATCGATTTTCTTTAGAATCAAGAGACCATGTTTTTTGTTCTCGTAGCAGTTGATGACTTCGATTCCAAATCTTCTGTTTGATCGAATTTTAGCTTCTGCACAGAAGAAATTTACTCCTGCAGTTGTGGTATTTTTTAAGAGTTTAGCTATGCTGGGCTGTGATTTCTAAATTTATTATTTTTAAAACGTAAGTAAAGCGGATCTTTTCAGACTGCATCGTTTCTTAACCCAAAAATATTTTTATAAGTTGGCGTAGCAAGAATGGACAATTTCCTAAAAAGCACAATCACAAAAGAACACACGAAAAAGAACTAAACATTTTCACAAATAATTAGTTGAAAATCGAATATTCGACTGACAGATTTATATTGCTTGAATCTGGACAGTCATCCAACAACCTAAACATTTGCTCTGAAATATTTTCAGGTTTATAAATCGTTTAATGCCGCTCTTGCATACGAATGTGACTATTAATGATAAAAACCAAGAAATCTCAAGAAATTACTAAAGAAGAGTGTCCGATCTAGACAGGTGTCTGCGCGAAATGTGGCACTTTATCCTGAGGTATGAAATCAACTTAAATAACGTCAGAATGACGCTGAAATGCCAACAAATCATTTTTTCCCTCCATCTCTATGAAGAAATTACATATTTCTTTTTCCAAACGTTAACTAACTCTTTGAAAGGAATAATTTAATGAGGAGGTTTTTTTCAAGGAAAGAAGGAATCTAAATAGATGATCACATACATCTTATCATTTTCAAAAGAAAACAGCAAATATATGCATATGACGTCATCCGTATAGAAAACTGTCGACTGTCATGACCTCATGATGGCAATGTAAATCTTCTTAGGGACTCTCCTTGAATACATATCAATTTCTATTTACACTTTGGTGTGTAGACCTGGATAGTTCTGAATTGCAACACCAAGTTTTCCGTCTATTGTGATCACCAGGCCCAGGGGGAGGGGGGATACCCCCCATTAAGGCCTGACAGGGGGTCCAGTCCGATTGAGGGTCTTACCAAATGGCTACCAAATGACCCATTTTCGGTTTTTATGCTACCGTTTGACTGAACTAAACTGCTCAGTTTAGCTTGCGATTTGTTATAGATAATGAACAAGATTTATCTTTCACGAAACAACAACAATCAATTGTGGAAAATTTGTCAAAAAAGGACCAGGGGAGCATAAAGGAATGGAGCCTACCAAGGAAATAATTTCGGTTTTTATGCTACCGTTTGAGGGTTTTTTTCAAAAATACTACCATTTGAGGGTAATTTTTTAAAATCTTATCCTTGGCCCTCTTTGACCCTGACCGGATCCCCCTGTCAGGCCATAATTGGGTTACCCCCCCCCCCCTCCCCGGGTCACCAGGTAACTGTTGTGAAGCCAGTCTTACGCAATCATCATGTACAGCACTGCACTGAACACTGATCACAACTGTGTCTAGCAGACTAGTTACAGTTGTATTTTTGCTATTTCAGTAGTGTTTAGTGTGTCTTGCACTTGACAATGAAATGCTTTTGATGCACCTTTATTACCATAGCCTCTGACAGCTGAAAGAAGTCGTATCGAAACAAAAAAATCAGCGCAGTTGAGAAAATTTCAAAATAAATTGCGATTTCAAAGTGAACACCTAAATCAGATACGAAATTGTGGAATAAATAATAATGATATTGTTTGACTCTTCAGCCATGCAGCAACATTTACCAAGAAATCCCCAAACCGCATTGGGAAGATCTACGACAAAGCTGTCTATAGAGAATATACTGACAGATCGTTCACAAAGCAGAAACCACGTGATGAAAGTTTTGGGTTACTCGGCCCAGTACTGAAAGGAGAGCAAGGAGATGTGCTGATTATAGTATTCAAGGTATTCGATGCATATTTGCTTACTCTGCATTTTTGTGCCATAGAAGACATCGTTGGGTAATCATGATGCTGATCCTTTTCTATTGAATGCTTCCAATATGCCTCCTTGCTTACCCTAAGAAATGATAGGTATTTAATACATTTTTTCTAAAGAATACAATTTGGATATACAGATGAACCCCTCTGGAGTTGGTGCCATTATTGTTAAATGCCGAAGCATAGATGCTTGTAACTATATAGATTCACAAATGCTTCTATACTTCACACTGGTTAGACTTCATTCAAGCAATGTCGTCTACATAACAAGCAACAAAGGCCGTGGTATCTTGCCTTGATTTCCAAGAGAAAACCCCAAAATGTGCCTTCTATTTGCTATCTGTTATGAAATGTGTTATATTAGCATGTCAGTTTTATTTTCTTGGATGTCAAGCTACCAAAAATCAACGTCTAGCATCTTATTGTTGAATCTTTTACAGAACCTTGCAAGTCGAAATTACACAATGCATCCGCACACTGTGTTCTACAGTAAAGCCTCAGAAGGTGCACTCTACGCCGATTCAACTTCTGGAGCTGGCAAGGCCGATGACTATGTAGCACCAGGGAAAACCCAGACCTATATTTGGGTGGTTTCGCAAGAAGGCACTCCGGCTGCGGGCGATCCTAATTGTTTAACGTGGTTATACCATTCACACATCAAACCAACCATGGATATGAATACTGGACCAGTGGGTGAGACTGAAGTTCTTTATCACGTTGTGAAATTGCTTCAAGAATAAAACACTTTGAGTTTTTGGAGCATGTTGCCAGCCAGGGTATAAAAAGCACTTTCATTGCTAGAAATTTTCAAGACTAAGTGTTTATTCTGAAAAAACTATTTCAATTTGAGTATAATTCTGACTTCATATCTAAATTGTATATCTTACCTAGATTGTATCTAAAGTGTATCATTTTATGCTGACAGGAATTCGATCATTAATATTGCAAGAAGTGAATTCACGGCTAAGCCTCTATCAAACATAAAGTTATCGTGTTTATACACTGCCAAAATCACAAACTGTTTCAAAAGCTGTGTGTAATGGTATAATGTCGGGATATGATGCCGTTGGCAAAAAAGGTGAACTTGAGAAGTCATGGCTGTAACACAGCTTAAAAGCGTACACAAAATTGCTGCATCAATCATGTTGTGTTGTAACACGTGACTGGTCAATAATCTATGCACCAGGTAGGCCGACATGATTAAAACAGGACGGAGTGAAACTGCTGTAGGCCTTTGTCTCCCAGACACGAAACGATACCGCTCTGCTTCTTGAAGTGATTGCATCATTTCAAACTGCTGCACAGTTACAAAATACCAGATTCCTGTGTTTTTGAAATACAATCTTTGGTGTTTTTAAATAAAAAACGTTGTCTGAAAACCACATTTTCACAAAAATAGATATTAAACAAGGGAAATTAAAAGTAAGGTCCAAGAAATTTGAGCTATCAGCATAAAGACTGGAAAAAACACATGAAATAAACTCTGCGCCTTACGTTTTCGGCATAATTTCGTTTCATGAGTATTTAAAAATATGCTTCAAGCTGAAGTGAATAGGCAAAACCAGCAATAGCGAGGAGAATCAATTCTATCTGCATGATGCTTTATGCAAGAGAAACCTTTACACGATAATGGAGAGCAAAGCACTTTGGATGGCTTTTCTTTCAACTCCATAGTGAAGTGACTTTCTGTAATTTCAGTTTTGGCAATGCCAAGTTCTCAGGATTATACCTGCGTATTGTAACTGGGACCTATTTCCCATATAAAAGCCAATCCAAAGTGAAATGAACAGGTGTTGTGAAACTGCATTATGCTTAATAGAAACAGCCTTTAGGAGTATCTCAGTAACTTTTGGTTGAAAGGACTTTAAGAAGTGCAAGCTTGTGTTGTTCCTATTCAATTCCTATTACGTTTATAGGTACAAAGTTTTGAAAGCCATCTAACTCAGCGCATTGATCCATAATCGAGGGGCAAATCACTGCTTAAAATCACGTACGCTCTCAAGAATAATCACACTTTAATCACAAATTAATCACATTAATAACAAAATCAAAATAATTACAAAGTATAACAATAATAACAAAAGTTTCTTAAAACAAATACTAGAATCCTTGCCCACTTTTATCCGGATATGTTAATGAAATATTCATTATTTAGAATTTCCCTTTCACACTTTTCCAATATTTTCATGGACACGATGGAAAATTTGCAAACACACGCTCGAGAACAACAAGCTTTAATAAATACCCTGCAATGGAGCAAAAATGAAGGCCTCGTTATGATGCCGTCCATAATTATATGCTTCTATAGTGTTGCTAGAACTGTTGCAATAGGGGCAGGGGTGTTAGGGATGTGAAAAATTGCGTTTCAGAAGCAATGAGTTTTGTACCATCTTGGTGTGCTTCTTCAAACCTGTCGGGTGGGCAGATAAAGAATGCTTAACCCACTTTGTCGGTAAAGGGGACCCGGAAAACCCCCCTGATAACAATTGCTAGCAACAATTCTGAATGTTCTTTGCATGTTATTTTTCTCCAGGCATGATTGAAACGTGCAAAAAAGGCTTCTTGAATGAAGATGGATCAAGAAATGACGTCACGAAGGAGTTCTACTTGTTGTTTCATGTGATCGATGAGAATAAAAGCTGGTACCTGGATGAAAGCCTCAAAAGGAGCGGAATAGATCCAAGCAAAGTGAACAAAGAAGATGAAGATTTCAAGGAAAGCAATCTCATGCATTCGATCAACGGAAGGGTTTATGGTAATTTAAATGGGTTTGATGTTTGTCAAGGTGACAAAGTTGTTTGGCATTTGTCAGTCCTTGGAAGTGAGGTTGATATGCATTCAAGTAAGTTATGATATAACTTATCATTCAATTAAAAAACATTCACCGATTGAAAAAAATTCAACCCAAGATCGGTTTTGTAAATCATCCGTAATTCAATGAATCTCTCAGTTAGTGGAAGAAAACATCGATCGAAAAAAGCTTAAAGTATATAACTTGTCAGTCAAGGAAAGAGGGAACTTGATTTATCAAACGTGATTCACCGTATCAGATGCAGCGTGATTCACCGTATAGGGTTCATTGTTATTCAACCTAATTCCCCATCGAACTCTCAACTATTTCTTTGACGCTTTGTAAAAAAAGCCATTACCACTTCTGGAGAATTTAAAGATTTGAAACCTAACGATACTGAAGCAATGATATCGCTGCGTAGCTCAACTTATCTAAGGAATCGAACTTTCAACCAGATAGTTTTAGAAATTTAAATCTAAATGCAACAGTGTTCTCGGAAAGAGATCTAGGGCATCAGAACGTACGTAAAGTAGGGGGGGGGGGGCTTTGCAAAACTTGGATTATGGGTGATATTGGAATGCTTCCTTCCGAATAACAGAGTTTTATGCATTCGGTCAACTGGTCCAGATGTTAATATGCTAACAGAATTCCTCTCATAAAAGAAAGCACTGTCTCTCTAAATCATTTGGTCTTGGTACAAATGTTGGCACACTTACTTAAGTGTTTTATGAATAGACTGGTATTGGGTAAAACTTTCAGGCAAAACTTCACTGTTTCTGAGAGCGACTTTGAAGTACGGTAGGGCTATTCTAGCAAATTATCTTTAGCCAGTGTTGCCTTTACCAATCGAGTGTGATGATTTTAAGCGCAAATAAACGTAAACAAAGCCAAAAGTGTAGAGAAGTAGCTACCTGAACAGACTTCTGTTTCTTTTAGTTTCTTTCCACGGAAATTTGATTGTCTCAGACCACCATCGAACAGACACGCGTGTTTTGTTCCCTGCGCATTCCGGAACTGTAACGATGCAGGCGGATAACCCTGGCAAATGGATGTTTGAATGTAAAATAGCTGATCACTGGAATGCAGGCATGTTTGGGTTTTACAACGTAAGTGCAGCCTGTGGACAAGAAAACAAAGCAGTCACATTCAATGGCAAAGTGAGAGAGTATTTCATAGCTGCGGAAGAAATTTCGTGGAGGTATTCACCTTCTCAATACAACTCATTTGATGGAGAGCCTTTAGACAAAACTGGAAGGTAATTATTTATAGTATCATTATATTCCATTTTTCATAGATTTACAGAAAGACATACATTTTCAGGGTCATTCTTACCTCTGGATATCAGGTTGTCATATCTTGAAAGCAATTTCTCTGTTTGAAAACTTTGGAAACATCGAGGTTCCACAGTAACGTCCATTTTACAATCTATGAAGAAAAGAATCATAATGTATTCACATCACGACAAGAAAAGCAATGCGACTGTAAGCTAAGGATACTTAACTCATTTACACAAGTTTTGGTGAAGATAATTTTGCCCATACATAAAACTCGTGATCGAGCCAATGATATATAAGCGTCACTCATGCGGTAAAAGGGCAAACAGACGATTCCGCATAAGGGCACAGTACAGGAAATTCCAAAGCTGGCGAACGAAACACAAAATTTTAGAAAATCTATTTAATTTATGAAGGTAACTTGAATATTTCATACCTTTCAAAATTATGCCAACTTTCGACAATCTTGGTTCTTCTCCGTCTAACTTGCAACTTCCCGTACTGAGCCCTTATGAGTGATCTTCTTTTTGCCAGTTTTTCCGCTTGAGTGATTTTACCTCACCAGCTCCATAGGAAATTAGATATCTAGTTAGACATCTAGCGCCTTCGGCGCTTCTATATCATTGAATCGAGCTTTTAAAGTTGATAACGAGGTTAATTACTAGATGCATACGAGACATACTTTGATATATAGGCAACCACCTGGGCCACGTGTTGATTGAAAATCCAAGGCACCTATCGTTTGAGTCTATGAAAATAGAAATGTATAAATTTTTACCTAAGATAAATGGCAACGTCAGTTTTTTGGAAAATGAAATCAATCGATACTGAGCTTGCTGAATCTAGTTTGGTGAGCCTGTTTGAAGCTGTAATTCGTAACTTGATTATTGTCCATTTCTGATTTCATGCTTCAAGCTGACCGTTGCTACAAGTGCAACGGACAGCTTATAACCTCCACCTTGGTATGATTGAAAATTAAGTATGTTTAGACGAAGAGATTAAACATTTTTAAAAATGTTGCTTTTTTCAAAAACTATTTTTAATTTCTTAAGTACTTATTTACTTGAAAGTTAGCAACAGCTCTTCGTTTTGTTTTATGACAGTGACTCTTCCACGTTCTTTGTTCGCGGGCCTAACAGAATCGGTGGGACTTACATAAAGGCAAATTACCGTGAGTTCATGGACGCTACTTTCACAAAGAGAAAGCCTAGATCTTTGAAGGACGAGAGGCACCTTGGGTTTTTGGGACCAGTTATCAAAGGTGAAGTTGGAGATAAGATTCTCGTTCACTTCAAGAACAAGGTTTGTATTCACTGTGACAAGGCACAGATGTCATGAGAACTCTGTCTTGATGAAAAGATGATCATTTTAAATGCTAAAAATGATTTGTAGTTTTTGCACAAATTCAAAAGGATGCAGCTGTTGAAATAAAGTAATAAACTAGACAAGAAAAAAAAGTAGTCAGCAATTCGTCTTCTCGTGAAATCGATAATTCTTTATCATTATGCATGACAAAGAAGTGTTTACATCTAAATTTGACGAAAGCTTAAATCAAGGTATCTGTACATTTACCAGAAAGAGATTGGATTCTATGGGCTATCCATCATATTAGCTCCCAGTTTTTGGCAGGATCGATTTTGTATTTCGTCTTAATTCAGTGAGGAAATGTCGGGGGAGGGGTCAACATTTTTGCAAGGTATTCTTTGTTTTGTGATTCTGTGATCAAAGTACCTGTACCTAACCAAAAGTTAGTCATGGGGGTTCCTTATTGGTAAATTTGGCGTTCCCCGACTTAATCTGTGTGACAATGAATTTGTTATATTTTCAGCTGAGCATCAATGCATCGATTCATGCGCGTGGAGTTCTATACAACAAGTCAAATGAAGGGTCATTATATGATGACAACACAAAACTCAAGGCAGATGATGTCGTTCTTCCGGGCACAACTTACACTTATGAGTGGACCATCCCTGAATCGATGGCTCCCACAGCGAAAGATACGCCATGCATTTCTTGGCTGTATTCATCAAGCGTCGATCCTGTAAAAGATACATATTCAGGTAAAAAAATTCATGTCTTACAGATCATGCATGCTCATTTATGGAAAACGCCCTCTTTCCTCTTTGTTGTTTCGAAATCACATGTGAACGAATTTGGAAACTAAGTGTATAACTTAAGGCGTCACTGGTTGATCAGCGAAAATTTTAAGTCATCACCTGTGACATTCTTTATGCCTAAGACACTTCAATGTATGTGAAAAGGTAATTTCATGAAGATCTTACCAAATCAGTGATGTTTTCCCCCAAACTAAGGTTGATTCGTAGGTCAGAGTGATAGCTCTTGTTCCGCTCCCCAAGGAACCACTGCCAATTTTGTCTTAACAAACTGAATTCTGAGCATAAATTGTGTCTTTTGTAGGCCTTGTTGGTCCTCTGGTAACATGCAATGCTGGTTCACTGCAGACAAACGGAATTCCGAAAGGATTCGATGCAGAGAAATACCTCTTTCCTGCCGTTATGGACGAGAATGAATCCTGGTATCTGGAGAAAAACATGGAGAGGTATTGCACTTCACCGAAATGCGGTGGGATCAGCAAAGGTGAGTGAAACTTTTATGCAGGTTTACTTTATGCAGGCCTCTGAGGAGAAATATTTATTCACGAAGGGCGCAGTGTGGAACAAAGATGCTGAGTGTTTTTTTGTATCTCTATCAGTGTATTTTGTAGCATGTTAATCTGTAGCATGTAATTTGCATCATTTAATGTAACTCAAATTTCATGTAAACATGTTTAACGTAATGGTCACAGGGTTGTTATCTATTTCCATGCTCCCTGTGGCATCGTATTTTGGCTTGTCTGTTTTGTAAAATTTTACGAGAATCTATATATAAAAAAAGATGCTGAAGGAATTGTCTCTTTTGTTAGAAAGAGTGTCAATACACAGTTCATTTGTCACAGTCATGATTTCACGTTCTTTTCCTTGGTTCATTTGCCTGACCATTTTTATGTTCTGTCTCTCCTTAATGTCTGATTTTTCAATTCTCTGTTGCAAGTTTTCCAAATTCATAAACAGCGTTAAAATTCGTTAAGCAGCTAGAAGATTGCAAGTTATTAGCAAATAGGTTAATCAGTGTAAATGGGCAAATTGGAATTTCAGATACAAAGTCTTTCTTTATACAAATATATTTCTTTACTATGCTTAGTTACAAAGTTGTTTAATATCTCTGATACATAAAATCAGAATTTAACTTTCAGAGATATCGAATGCAGTTCAAATTTAGAGAGGTACTATGTCTCAGAAAAAGAGACATTATTCAAAAAGTTCTATAATTACTTTGAATGACAATAGGATCTTCTCTATCGATGCATTGGGGTCTTCTCTATCGACGCATTAGGGTCTTCTCTATCGATGCATTAGGGTCTTCTCTATCGACGCATTAGGGTCTTCTCCTTTCCAATAGAAGTATCCTTAGAGGCAATTTAAGAAATGGGACACTTTTCCAAAAGTTTGGGGCACAAAGCCATTTCCACTGTCTTGATGTCCTTGATAACTTCTTATTTTGTGAATATTTCGATATATTTACACGGACGTAATGATTGATGAATTACATCACAGGGATATTTGTAATGAAATATTTTCTAGATGACAAAGATTTCAAAGAAAGCAACAAGATGCACCAGATCAATGGCTTTATGTTTGGCGATATAGGGATAGAGATGTGCAGCGGAAAAAAGGTTATCTTCTATGCTTTTGCCATTGGAACAGAGATTGATCTGCACTCAATATATTTCAGTGGAAATGGCATCGATGTAGAGGGGAACCACAAAGATTCACTCATGATTTTCCCAGGTAACTGATGACAGGCATTTTGATTCTATTGCACTTCCAAGAATGGTGGGGGGGGGGGCGGTTCAAAATGTGTTTGTGAATTATATAAATGTTCTTTGCTAAAGATGAAGAGCCATGGTCCGCTTTGGTTTTCCTCCTGATAGGAAAGATCCTCTCTTACCAATTGATGATTTATCATGATAATATTCTCTGCATTTCTAGAAGCAGTATGGCATTTGATGGCTTTTAAGGAATAATGTCATTTCAGGCTATGTTAACACTTTAAACACACTAACCACCCTCAACATAACGTCAACAAGGCCAAGTCTTTTGCCTGTTGATGAGTGTACCCTTGCTTTGTAAAAAAAGGTGAGAACATCGCGATCTATGAATTTTGCAATTTCGAATGCTTTCTTAGAAGGAAGTTATCTCATGCTTGTTTTAACAGCGTTATAATGATCCTAATTAGCTTTTAATCAATAATCCAATGCAACAGTTTTTTGCAGCATTTGTCTATTACAGTAGCTGTTCGTTACCTGTTTTACCAATTTCCACTTAAAAGTGTTTTTCTGATTGCAAACGGGCCACAATGTTTTTCAAACATTTCCATTTTCAATGGCACTCTTCGATCAAGGATTCTTATCTTATACCAGAGTTTCAATGTTGTCCTGGGGGTGAGGGAGGGGGGGGGTGGTTATAGTTATGTTTGTAAGCGCTTCGACAAATTTTGTTCAATGAGGGTTTCAAAACGACCTTTAATCTGAAAGACTTTGTAGAAGTATATTCAGTAGCTATCAGTACCAAAACCTGAAAATAAATAAAAGGAAGTCAACACTTGTGCCCGAAGAAGTATCTCTTATCGGCCCAAGAGATGAAATCTTTGTTAATTGTATAGTCAATATGGGGAATGTTAGTTCTCTGATTAAAATAAATGGTATATGAAAATATCTTACTTCTGGAAACGTAAGTACGTAATCCACAAGATGCTGTCGTTAATTATCGATGTTATTATTTTTGGCTCTTAATGGCACAAATGTATGTGAGTGTTATTTGTTTTACGCATATAGGGAGCTCGACAACATTCACAATGACTCCAGATAACACTGGGACATGGGCACTTGGATGCAGAGTTAACGATCATTATCAAACTGGAATGAAGTTTCTCTACACAGTCAAATCTTGTGTGGCAACACAAAAACTGTTGGCCCCTGTAACTAAAAGGAAATACTACATTGGAATCGTCGAAAAAGATTGGGATTACGCACCTAATAATCTACAGCTTACGTCTGGTGGGCAGCTCAACACTGATTCAAAGTAAGAGCATGGGTCGTTATCTTTGTCCAAACATGGCCCATATTTAGAAAGTGTCCATATCTAGGTTAAAATTGCAATTAATCTATCAGGATGATCATTGAAACGTAATAACCACTCTTATGTTTATCGCATAATTACTTAAAAGGCAATCGACACTTATAATAGTGGCTTAAGCCATCTGGAATCAAACTCACCGATTGGTCAATTCTTGATTGCTTAAGCTCGTTCAGAATCTGTCGATTACCTTTAAGATTTTCATTCTTCATCACACAGCGCTAAAACCTTTACCGAACGCACAAGCACAACTATTGGCAAAGTCTACAAGAAGGCCATATATGTTGCTTATACAGATGAGACATTCACCAAAGTGGTCCAAGACACCGATCGTACAGAACATCTAGGGATTTTGGGACCCATGATACTGGCTGAAGAAAGAGATGAGATCGTTGTTGTTGCAAAAAACATGGCGACTAGGAATTACTCAGTAAATCCGCACGGAGTATTTTACAGGTGAGTTGGATTTGCTTTTTCCAATGCAGCAGAGTTAATGTCATCTTTCTCAAAGATTATTCGCAAAAAACTGAAGACATTTTGCAAATAAGCTGTTCATCATATTAGCTACATACGTAAATACATTTACATTACATTTTCTAACTTATATTAGGTTTTAAATTTTGTGAGCCCAAACTATCAAATAATCCCAAATTCCTTTATTCGTTCTACATAGCATTACAGTAAGTAGGAACTTAAGAATTTTCTCAGTTAAAATCGGATATCCCCACTTGGCATTTTAGCAAAGATAACGAAGGAACAATTTACAATGATGGAACGAGTCACAGAGGAGGATCCATTGCTCCTGGCAAAACATACACGTACCACTGGTTTGTGAACAGCCGTTCAACTCCAGGCCCAAACGATGGTGCGTGCTTAACATGGGCATACTATTCGGCAGTCGATCCTGTGAAGGACACAAATACTGGCCTAGTTGGACCGCTGATAACATGTAGGAAGGTACATTGCACCATTTATTCTGAAAATACACCTTTTATACGTGCACTGTGAGAATGATATTTTATCAACAAACGTTCGAAAGCAACTAAAGTACATAAGCATGGGCTATCTAACGTAGCTAACATATTGGTATGTTTTGTAACCCAAGAGCATGCTTTCTGTTCCCCATACACTCAAGTTTTGTAATTATCCCACATAATAACAATACTTAGTAAACTCTCTATGTCCCTATGTCTTTAGTTATCTAGCAGTTAGCTGTTCATCATTCATGAACATAAAATTATTCAATTTCAGGGAACGTTGGTAAACGGAAAAAGAATAGACGTTGATAGGGAGTTTGCAATTTTATTTTCAGTATTAGACGAAAATGAGAGCTGGTATTTGGACGATAATATAAAAAAGTTCACTCTTAAACCAAATGACGTTGTTAAAACAAACGAAAATTTCAAGGAGAGTAACAAAATGCACGCGATAAACGGATATATTTACAGCAATGGGCCACAGAGTGGCGGACAATTCAAAATGAACATGGGAGACAAAGTTGCTTGGTATGTTATTGGACTTGGAAACGAGATTGACATACACACGGTGCATTTCCATGGAAACTCGTTTATACATGTAAGTTGGTTACTTAATTTATTAGTTGCTTTGATTCAAGCGGCCACAGGGTACTTGAAAAATTCTTTCTACGAAGGAAAGGGGATCTCTATACGATACTATGCAACCCTGCGTCAGGCTAAGGACATGTTCCACACGTGCAGATCCGAAAAGAATCTTTTGAACATGAATCTACATAAGTATACAACAGTCCCATTAAATAGGTTATAGTTTGGTTACTGAGGATGTCAGTTGAGATTACCTGTTCGTTGGATGAATAGCCATATGCAGGCATTGTCCTGGTTCTCTAAGGAACCCGTTGGACGAGGATTGAAAAGTTTGCCCAACTATAGATCCCCTGAATGGATGTCCATATTACCAAATCTTTATTGCGATTTGCTATCTAAATAAAATTTGAAACGAAGAATCAACACATTACCTAGAAATTATTTTTAGTCTTAATCTATTGATTTTTAGGAAACGCAATCTTTTCAGAGGAACATCTTTGAACATGCTTAACTTATTAAATCGGCCTACAATCCCGTACAAAATTGTTGAGACAAAATGCAAATTTAGAAATTTTCTATTTTCTAGTTGCCCCTGTAAATTCGAATCCCCCCTTTTCCCCCGAATCAATGTTGGATTTGTAGCTATATTATTCCTTCTTCAAAATCATGCATTCAAAATTTTTCAAATCAAAGAGAAAATATCACCTTTCCTTGAAGTCTCAACTATTTTTGTCCGGGACTGTAGCATTTGCTTCTTCTTGCAGCGGACAAATTCAGAACATGTCGACGACGTGTATGATATTTTCCCCGGAGTCTTTGCTTCTCTCGAGATGACTCCCGTAAACCCAGGAAAATGGCTGCTTCACTGTCACGTCAATGATCACAAACAAGGTGGGATGGAGACCATTTTCGAAGTGAAAAAGAAAATCAGATGGGGTGAGTTTCTTTGCTTAAATTCCTAAAAATAGAAAAATAAATAAATAGAAAACCAACGGTGGAGGAAAGGGCACTATCATGCTATCGGCTGTTCGATCTATGAGGTGACCAGCATAGGGCCTAGTAGAACTGATTAGATGACCAAAATCAGTCATGCATAACCCCCGTTTCAAATAGCACCTTACCAAATTCTTCTAATCCAAAGAAAACATCAAGGCAATCGAAAGATATAAAAGTGGCTTAAGGTATCTGTCAATCAAAATTAGCCAATCAACGAGCGCGTGAGTAGAATCACACTCACTGATTGGTTTATTTTTGATTGAAAGATGGCTCGAGCTCCTTTAGTATCTGTCGATTTTTTTTAAATTAAGGATAACAATATTTCTCTTCTTACCTTGGTGTGTAGAACAGGACGGTGCTAAGTTGCTCCATTCATGGAGGACTCCTGTACGGCAACAAGCACTCTCCAACATAGCAGTTAGCTGTATTTTTCGTCAATATTTTCTGCACTTTAGCTACAAAAGCAGAAATATTAATGATAGATCAATCTCTTGCCACAAAGGAACACTAGATCTCTTGGTGAAATGTATATTTGCGTGGTTGAATGGCCAAACCTTAAAAACGTTTCTAAATTGATTTTGCAGGTGAAAGTAAGGGAAGCAGTTTGAAGTCAAGTTGCTTGGCTTTTTTGCTTCTGGTTGCTGTCCTGGTCAATCTGTGGTAGCAGAAAACTCATGAAAGATGCTGGTGAAGAGTTTAAAAAATTTGAACCCTGATTAAACTTGAACATCTTTAAGCCCGTATCAACAGGATTCGTATCGAATAAAACAATTTTGTGATTTCCGTTTGGTATGGTACATCGAGACTACAGTGACCTGCAAGACTGCTGTACCCCGCATTTTGAACTGAGTATCTACCTCATCCCCACATTAAATTTTGAAGTCCCACCTTCGATTTAAAATATCCTTATGTAAGCCCATCGTTTTTTAAATACAACTGATAGCAAAGGGAGATGTGTTTTGACATTTTTGGCATGAAGAGATTTTTGCGAAGGTGGGGGGCGGGGGGCAGCAAGACCCCACAGTGTTCTTTCTTAATGAACGAATGAGAATCGTAATATGAAAAACAAATGCCTTAGAGTTCCATTTTTTATTAAACTTGCGTCGATAATAAAAGGGAGAATTTGATAATTAGGGGATTAAGGATTTGAGGATTGTAAGAAATGGAGGGATTGGTTAATTTTCAAGTATGAAACATATTGGGGACTTTTATTCCAGCAGTTTTTCTAGTTGCTCATTAAAGTTAGGTCAAGCATCCAAAGGAGAGGTTGCTCAAACAATATATCAGTAAAGATTGAATGAATTTGATGGATGGAAATTTGTCATGAAATTAGTTAGCAGAGGGGGGGGGGGGGGGGGGGGTGTGCGGTTTTTTCTGGCCAATTCCACACATGGAAGCAATTGGAAAATTTGACGATTAAAAACCAAGTCACTTTTTCAGTATGAGAATCTAAATAGTGAAACTAACTAAGAAAAATTACTGGGAGACCCAATCAACGTTTGACTGGAACTCTGGGGTTGAGCAAATGGGTTTTTGGATCATATAATTTTGTATTTATACATAGGCCTGTCTGCCGGAAAGACTACGCAACATTTTCTTGTTAAGTTTTATAAGGGTTTTGGGACCGTCTTACAGAACAGGTAGTGGTGAGATGGTAGCATTATGTAGACATATAAACATATACGAAAAATGGCATTAACTAGCAGTTTGGAATATTTCTTTATATTCTTTTAAACTTCACTATGTTACTAAGTTAACTATGTTATTCAACGAGCCTTGCATTAATAACTTGTTATTGGAGATTGGCAAAACTTGATTTCAATGGAAAATACCTAGATAATTGTTTATATGCAAACTATATGTTACAAAGAAAACGTGCTACAAATACCTTATTATTTGTGTTACTTCTGCGAGTAAAAGTATCCGTCTTTTTCTCCGTATCTTCCGTCTTTTTCTCCGTATCTTCCGTCTTTTTCTCCCATCTTTTTCTCCGTATCTTCCGTCTTTTTCTCCGTATCTTCCGTCTTTTTCTCCGTATCGTCCGTCTTTTTCTCCGTATCTTCCGTCTTTTTCTCCGTATCTTCCGTCTTTTTCTCCGCATCTTCCGTCTTTTTCTCCGTATCTTCCGTCTTTTTCTCCGTATCTTCCGTCTTTTTCTCCGTATCTTCCGTCTTTTTCTCCGTATCTTCCGTCTTTTTCTCCGTATCTTCCGTCTTTTTCTCCGTATCTTCCTTCTTTTCCTGTTCTTATTTTCTTCTGACTCACTTCACCTTTCTCATAATTTTCACCATGTGCTACCTTTTACTCCTTTTTAATTGTCTCTTCTTATTTTCCTGTCTTCTTCTCCCTTACTTATCGCGTTCCATCTTCTAATTTTCTTCTTCTTTCTCTCCTCCTCCCTATTTTTATGTTTCTTCTCCAATTATATTTCTCCCTTCCTTTCTTCTCATCATCCTTTTCATCTGCCTCTTCACATTTCGCACTAACGTTTCTTCCCCACCCCCTTAAAAACCCCAGTCCAAAAAAACTTCGAATTATCACAAACATCGGACAAAAGGAAACTCTGCTTTCAATCACGATTTCCGTGAGCGTTCGATTTAAACTGTTATTCAAAGTCACTTTCAGGTAAGCTTCAAGCTAAAATGATGCTAAAAAGACGATTATTCACTTGGCGACGATGCTGACGACCTTCTTATCAGCTGACGTGAATACTACATACCCTCCATGTTTTTCTTGATATCAATATATCATTAATAGAGAATACTTGACACCATCGGTGACTTTTACCCATCTAGGCAACAGATTGCAAAGAAGTGATTGTGGCCATTCATAGCAAACAAACTTGCAAATTTCTTGAAACAAGAGACTAGAGGACATCAGAAAGACAAATCTAACCCACTCTAATAGAGGCCTGCATGTGACGTATTGTTGCACACCTTATATGAAATCACACAACACGCTGCTAAGAGTATTTTGTTCCTTACTGAAAGGTGCAATTGACTTAAGGGTGTGATTTTACTCAATTATAAAGGTAAAAAGAAATCCTAAACAGGTACAGTAGGACGAATATTTCAGGGCATGGAAGATGCTTCACATAGCTAGTTAGGGCAACATAACACTATACTTCTTGGATTGACACTATCAAGAAGGACATTTGCCAACCCTACATCCCACTCTGGCCATTACTGACAATCAATGTTTAGAAAACTCTGGCAGATTCAAGAAAAATATCTCATATTGTATCTTCATTCGAGAATTTAACAGATGCGAATAAAAAGTAAGTGCAACACGAAATTCAATTCATCCACTGCAGGTGCAAACAAAATTTGAACTGAGCTGAATACGTGTCTACATGGACAGAACTATTAAACAGAACCATTTGTAATTATCGTATAGAACACTTCTGCAAACATAATTTACCTTTCTATAATGTATATAGAAACGTGCCTAGCAGCGAATCACACAATTTACCCTTCTGTAAGGTATATAGAAAATACATATATGAATGCTTGTGTAATAAAAAATGGAACACCTAATTAAACATGTACATGATAATATAGACACTATATGCCCTGTTAAATATCGTCTAAATTCGATAGAAGCCATATGCTTCGCTGAATAATTTCAAGCAGTCACGAAAGACATACCTATTTAGGTCGTATTACCTATAGATGTGCTTTCAATTTTATGATGGCATTCGTTATCAATAGGTCATCAATATTAAATAATTGTTTCATAATCCCATGTAAGTTATTTTCTGTACGCTAATTTCATGCTAGTAGTTATTGTGGCTACGCACCTATAAGCTCTGGTGATATACAGCGCTATAAAAATGCCTATACTATTATTAATATTATTATTATTGTTATTATAAGCGAAGTGTATGGTACGGTATAACAAATGATGCAAATGTCTTGAGGACATGCTACACCGGCAGATTTCTAGATATTCATCAGATATTAATATCGTCAAAAATGGGAAGAGAGCTATTACATAATTTTTGCAACTTGTGTTTCAGCTATGCATGAAAATGAGAAAAAGGTTATATACATCAATAGAACATTTAACAAAATTGATATCTGATGAAAACACCTGACCATGCAACAGGGCCTCAACATATAAATATAATCTTACAATATAACGAGCGAAATTATCCCCCAGGAGAAGTCAAAACTCTTCTCTAAACGAACCCCTCGCTAATAGCATTGAAATTTACCAACACAGACATTTACTTTATGGTGCTTGTATCAAAATATATACGCTTTTTATAACCTAAGTTGAAATTGCAGTATCTGATGTTTTTCAACACTCCATTTGTATTTTACTTTTAGGGTTAGAACCCACCACGTAAATATTTTCCATATTGTTGGCACGAGAAGCAGCTGCAAAGATGGCAAGCAGTAAAACGAAAAGTGCGATAGAGTTTAAAACGGACGATGAAGAGAAATGCTGAAAGTAAGGTTCAAGTGAGGGGATGTTTGAATGTGGATCTACTTCCTTTGTCTAAGTGTGTAAAACCGCCAAACGGTCATCTGCACGACACCGATTATGGCAGGAAAGAAACACACTATGCCAAATATAGCACTTTTAAAATCGTCACCTGCAATAAAGAGAAAAGAGATTTTGCTTACAAAAAAAGAGGTGAGCAAAATCACTCAGTGAAGTAAGGAACGTAAGAAAAGAAAAGTAAGGAACTGCGTGACAGAATAAAAATTTGAGATTTGAATTTAAGAGTGTCAATGTTTGCAAAGATTATCATAATGTCGAGGATCACAATATGTTGACATTATAAAATAATTTGAGTACAAAAAAAGCCAATAGTCTGCATCATATGAATGCACGAGGGAAGGGGGGGGGCTTTGGGTATTATGTAGCGAGTTGGGATGGGAAAATCGCAGCCTTAAGGGCAATGAGTCCATTCTGAACGAACAGCATTGATGGGGGTTTTGGATTTGGTTGGTGGCCATTTTTCTTTAACAAACATAGGACATTATATGATCAGTTGCACCATGGCAACTGCAAGTCAGTCACGTGCTAGACTCTGATGACATAAACAGGCGCTCACGGCCAGGAGCGATGGTTCCCCTTGTATATAGAGTCAATGCCTTTAAACGAATGAACACATTTTTTCGATAAAGAGATTTAGTGTTTATCTGTCTGGAGAATTTTTAAAAAAGGCATTATTTCTCATATGTCACACACCTGTGGGGAGGGCTCCGTGAACGTTTCCAGCGTTTGGCTATAAAAAATATTCACATAGTCCATTATGCTTGCAGTATGATGCACACATAACATTCACGACATATTCTATATAGTTTAAGTTTTATCATTTTATTCTGTAATAAAAAGGCTATTGCAACATTCTCTAACATTTTTGTGACATTTATTAACGTTTTTGTGACATTTATTAATGTTTTTGTGACAAGTTGTGACGCATTTGTAAAAATGATGGCATGCAGGTATGTTGTTTCATACTTTTAACTGAATGTCTAGCAATTAGCGTTTTCTGGGTTATGTAAAAGCAAAAATCAGCATCTGCTTTACATAGAAATTGACACAAAAATACTAGATTGCGTGCGGTACAATTTAATGCTATGATAACGATGAATGTAAGTAAATTGTACCAGAAAAAAAAAAGAATTAAATTGATAACGAGGTTTCGAGCATAGCCCGTTATCAAAGTCTTGATAACGAGCTATGCTCGAAACGTCGTTATTCTTTTAAGAAATGTTTTCCGGGTACAAATTTCTTACATTCATCGTTATTAATTGACAGAAAGATCACTTTGTCATAGTTCATTAATAACAAGGTACTGACACAGTTCATTAATGACGCTTTGCGAAATAAAACCTAGATTTGACCTTTTAGAATAATCCAGAGAAATTGCCACCAACATACTCTTGCTAAATACTTGGGCTAAACATTAAATAAATAGGGGAGCTGATGTACAAGTTCTGATCGCGCTGAGGTGTAGAGAATCAAAGTCACTGACCTGATAACCAAAACTCGAGAGAATGCGCAATACAGTCATAGGTGCAATTGACTGGGCCGGTTTTGTAACCAAAGCGTTCAACCCAAACACCATGGATGACAAAGGCAGCCTGGAGGGCAAATAATACAAATTATACATCAACACTAGATCGCGTGAATGAATTTCAATTCTTTAACGTCATAATTTCACCGGTTAAAATGTTCCTTCCGCAGAATATTTTGGCTTAAATTTTCGGTAGACATTATTTTCTTCAAACACATTTTTGTCATTCAGTAAAGACATTTTGCAAATTTTGCAAAATTAATTTGGAATTTTGCAACAGGTTTTCGTGATAGAATGAATTTTATTTGATCAAGAAGTGAGATGGATAAAAGACGAACTTCGATGTCGAGTCATACGCCCTTGGTTCTGGTTTTTCCAGGATACCAATTCCTTCGATTTTATTCACCCTAACAGACCACATCGTCATCTATATAAAGAGTATTTCAGCAGAAAGCTTCACAAGAGAGAGGGTAGCCAAATTAAACGAATTATATATAAAAGTTGGGGTTTATTTGCAATCACAGATGCTGAAATAATCATACCTGCGATTATGCAAACGTTGGTCCTCTTGGATAATGTCAGAAACGGTCAGGTTGAAGAGACTAAAAGCAGCACTTGGAAGCACTCTAAAACAATAAATTACATTCTATTATCAAATGTGTGATAACTAAGCCATTCATGATGGCGGATACATTGAAAAATGGTTGGGCATTCAGTAGATTTTCATTGTAAATTGAATTCCTATTTCCAACCCTTCTTTCACAAGAAATATTGCCCTTATCAATTCATTTCGCGTATTCAAAAGAATGTTATTTAGCACACCCCCTAAACACAAAACTCTAACATAGTAATTTAACTTTCAAAGTTACTCACGCATCAATGAGCATATAGGCACCCAGAATCCATATGTGGGTAGGACCGACGATGTACATTGTGACACTGGCTATAACCTATAGAAATGGTTCAAATTAGCCATAATCCTGTGTGCTTTTATAGTGTGTTAAAATGATAAAAGGTATAGAATCAAAGAAGAAGGCAAACTAAGAAGAGAAAGAGCAAGAAGAAGAACGCAAGGGAAAGGAAAGGATGATTAAAAGAAGAATTAAGAAAGAAGAACAAAACGAAGAGGATAATATAAGAAGAAAAAAGGCAAAGAGAAAAGGAAGGGCTAAGGGATAGGCATAATTATCTGAATCGAGGAATAACCTGGTCATTGCAATGTAAGCAACACGTCACTGAACAAACCCTAAATGACAGTACAATAAGTATAATAAATCCACCATAATGTATAGCATTGGCTGAGTAGGATTCCTAACAATTATCTTAACAAATCTTGTGAGAATATTGAGGATAGGGAGTGTTTGAATTCAAGAATTATTCAAGAATGAGAGCCTGGCCCGAATGTGTTTGAGTTTTCTGGAGACAAGCGTGACTTTTTACCAAAAAAGACAGGAACACTCATCAAGCTTGTTGTGTTCTGTTAGTATCCTTTCGTTTCCTACAACGTTTTCGAGATGAAGAAAGGCAGTTGCAAAGATTTGAATTTTTTTCGTGGAATGTAGTAAGAATTGTTTTAGGCACGGAATAACGGAATTTGATAATACTGCGACTCAGCGAAACCTTGGCTAGACTGAGCAGAAAAATATTATATCTTTCATAATTTATATCATTATTATTGGCTTAATTGGTAGTAATTTGTGTCATTAAATATTAGATACTTTAGATTTCAGTCTTGACCTGTCCAGAGTCCTTGCCCAGATCTATTTCATTACTCTGTATATGAGTTGCATATAATAATTATGTGAATAAATGAGAGGCCACGATAGCAGGCTGCTCGACGGACTCCGATGGAATACTTGCGGCGAAAAAACGATAAAATAGTTTTTTTGCTCTGATGAAGCCCCGTATGCCGGGGCGAAATGTTAGCCATAACTGATTTGTGTGTGTTTGTTGTTGTTCATTCTCGTCGCGTTGCGGTATCCACTACTATATAACAATTGTATGTGAAATGAAGATATCTTTCTACTTTATCGTTATTGTGATTCTCAGAAGTCATTACAGATTTTATACCGAGAATTGAACCTTTTTTGTTGTTATAGTTAGTCAAATAGAAATGTATCTGAATTTTTAAACAAAACATGTTACATCATCTTGGTAACTCGTCATCAGGCTCCAAAAGCACGATGCATCAAAATGTTGAATACCCACCTTAATGTAAAAAGACCACGAGATAAGGGCATATGAACCGTAACTGGCGAGAATACGACCATTCATTAGGACAATGATCTGCAAAAGCAAGGAGATGTAGAAAGAATAAACAAACAACAGAATACATAATCAACATAAGACATCGCAATGGCTGATTTCAGATGGTTTACTAATTTTACAAAATTATTACTGAAAAAGAGGCATGGTTATAAATTCCTAGGGTTTAAGAAATCATGGGATATAAAATTCTAATGGGCCTGGGGGGTTAATGGAGCTGAGTACCCTTTCACGATCAAAGTTGCTGTATTTAGCTGTTTTGGGAAACCAACAATACTCCCTAAGATATAAATAAGTATTTTCTCCGTTGACTTGAATTTACAGTATTCTAAAACAAATTAGCAAAGCGTCCCTGAAAACGACATTTCGCATAACTTTTCACACATACAGCACAACTACAGCATCGAAACTAAACCTTATCTTTATATGGACATTCCTCTAACCTCGTAGGTTCTCATATCGCATAGAATTAAGATTTCGTTTATAGGATCCGGATCTGATCCAGAAGAGTACGGGTAGGCCTTACGGGAACTGGCAAACCAGTACAATTTTGAATCCGCCTTCCGAATACTTTTAGAAGCATCTTCAGAGAAGGTCTTGGATGGAATTTGGACCAAATGCTTTATAAACAATCAATCTTGTTGATCAATTTTTTCACAAAGATTGATTGACGTCATAATGAATAATGGATCAGATGATGAAGTGAGAATAAAAATCAAACTGACCTGTGGCAAGACGAATGCCGATCCGGCCATGATACTTTTAACATTCTAGAGTAGATACAAACATAAAAAGTTATCCCTCTCTTAACAATACAAAAACGATTGTTTATGAGCAGAAAACATTTAAAAGGGTATTATCAAACATACCAAATCGTCATTTTATGTTCCGCTTAAGCCAGCCTGTTTTTAATTGGGTAAACACGCAGTCTCAAAAACTGCACCAAGTTTCATGCTATAGGTACTTTCCAATGGAAGACCCACTCTTCGACAAAAGTTTCTCACAATTCCACATTGGTCTATATATACCTTAAACCCAGGGCGAGATTCAAATTTCTTCTTTTCAGTCCCTGAGTTGTTTTCCCTTTACATTTACTCATCCCATATACAAACAGTCTGCTTCTAAACATTTTCATACTGGGGTGAAATTTGAGCCCTGTTGGATAAACTAATCCGGGTTGGGATTTTCACATGCAAAAGTTCCACAAACACAGTGAAGTCAACTCAGACAGTAATCCACTTTTCCGAACAGATTTCCCAGTCGCAGGGAAAGCACAGTACTGTAAGAAAATGACAATTGTTAATTGTTGATATTTTTCGGATGTTAGATAGAAACTAACAAAGGGCAAACAATTCACAATTGAATAACCAGTTAAAAATTATGATTTTAAAAAACCTTAAGACTAGTTTGACACCTAAACGTTGCCACATCTACAATTCCGGACAAAAATAGTCCAGACTTTTCAAGGAAAGTTGATAATATCTCTCTCTTTGAAAAATAACTTTTCCCCCTCCCTCAATTCAATGTTGAAGGCATGATTTCGAAAGAGAAATGAAAGAGCTACAAATCCAACATTGATAACTGAAATAACTGAAACCTGAGGTAAAGAGCTGTCGCCTACAATGCATTCAAAAATTACTAGGAAAACCTAAACAGTGCCAACCAATTACCGATCTATTCACCCCCATTCCCACAAAATAATGTTGGAAATATCACTCAGCCACCCCAGTTTCGAAAAGACAGGCTACGTTAAAATTATGTATTTACATGGAGAATAATCCAAAAATTGTTGAAAGGAGAGAGCGAAACAGCAAATGTGAATGAAAAATATGCTGTTGGTGTCGCACGACTTGTGGTAGGCATTGTAGTTTGTGGTTGTAGACTTAGTCATACTTCTTAGTTGGGAAAAACTTTATGGCTTCTAAAAGTGGATAGGTCGACTCGTTTGTGGATAAGTTTCTAAAAGTGGATGAGTCTTTGCAGTCAACAGGAGGTTACAAAGAAACCAATAAAGCCTTACCGTTGAAAAAACACCTTCACCAAGATGGTCTCTAAACATTCCAAAAAAGTTTGCACTCACAGTTGTATGGAAAACCTGTACAAAGAAAATGGCATTTACAAATTGTCTCGCATGAGAAGATTCTTTATAACATCGAAAGGGTAACAGTAACACGAAGTCAATTATTTGCTATTAAAGAAAGACATTTTAGAGGTTAAATTTCCCACTCGAGGAGTGCATCACTTTTGGGAGTTTTGGGGGAGTTTTCTCGACAAACAGAGGCAAACAAGACTTTAAAGAAGTGATGTGCCCCTTCTAATAGCTTGCTCTAATATTCTTTCACAAACAAATTCATTAACCTCTGTTTTCATGCTTGTTACTTCCATAGGATTTTAAAAAAAAACATAGATAAACTTATTGCACATCTAATTGTAAGTTGATGGAAAAATAGAGTTAAATGGAAATAAGTTTTAATAGATATGCAGATATTTGCGACCAATCTTGAGGTGGCTAACAAGAATACATCTCTTTGGGTGAAAACACTAAAAAGGGTCTTTTGGTGTTCAAAGGACTGATCTCCTCGCTGGAATATACACTCTTGTACGACCATATGGATATGCAAATCTTGCAAATGATGTTTTGTTGCAAATCTTATTGTACGGCGATAAGAATTTTCCAAACCACCTCAATAGATGCATCCTTGAGTTAACAATACGTTTTATACATTGTACTGGTCGCTTTGAATAAAGTATCTCGCCCCCTCCCCTCCCTAATAAACCAATAATTATTTAGTTAACTTTAATATGTAACGTCTGTCTCATATTATATAGGAGGTGAGATCTGTAACAACACAAAATTACTTAAACTGCAGCAAACATCTTGTCTGCTGTTATTCGCTAACGTTTTTCGCCTGATATCTAATTTGAGAGAGAGTGTAATGTTCTTTGTTTTTTCCTTTGGTAATTCGTATGTAAGTTGTCTTAGTTTTGCATGAAACCACGCAGTAGTCGAAGTATTTTGCACCCAGTGGCATCATCCTGGTAATGTTGTTAAGATTTCATTATAAGAATCTTATTTAAAAATGCTATACTTGATAGTATCAAACAAAAAGATCTAGACTTAGTTAGAGTGGGAGATAGACCATTTAAATTTGCTTTGAGATTTAACACTTATTACTAATAAGTTTAACACTTAATAAGTTCAAGAAAACAACCATTTTACGAGTTTTCTCTCATTGTGGAAAAGTATAAAATCTACTTTTTTATATTTTATTACATCCTATTTCTATAAAGCTCCCAGATGTGAATAAAATCATCAGCTAAAGTACTGTAATGAAAAGTATTTCCAAGAATTTTAGTAATGCAACGAACTTCATTCTTTGCACCAAAAGTCAAGGAACCACTTGTTGAAGATTCGCGCACCTAATGCGCAATGCAAATTTACGTCCTTACCTGGAGAAAGTTCATCATTACAAAGCAAACTAGAATGAAAATGAAAAACATGTCAAAATCGAGAAAGGGATAAACCAATATTTTGCGGGCTAGGGTGTTTTAAAACTTATAACTACTCAAGAGTTAGCAAGCAAGCCTTGGAAAACTTTGCAAGCAAGATTGATGGAAAGAAAGTTTGAAAGAAATTGAAAGAAATCATCAAAACAACAAACAGTGTTGAGAAAAACAAGAGGTTCCATAAAATAAAGACTAAATTGAGATAATTACAAGAAAAGATGAAATTAACACATTTTTCATTTACAAGGAAGGTAATAATTACTCCCTGTACAGCAAACAATGAATTCTAATTTCAAAGTGTAGACAAAAGAATGTCTCACAATTAGGCATTGTTTGATTTAAGTAGCATTTTGGGAATTCGACCACTTTAACAAAACAATAAAAATAATTGTATTGTCTGCTAAATCTCACTTTGGGAATTCAATTGTTTAAAGGCGAAGAGATAATGGAATGCTTTGTTCTCGGTTAATGACCAGGATGGGTATAAAACTATACTTCAAAGGGAACAATTTATCAGAATAGAACATATCTTCTGAAGAGAGCGCTCTGCCAATATCATTCCGACCAGAAGATCAACGATAACATCAGAATGACAAACATGGTAAGTTCATTATTTCAGCTGTACAAACTGCTTTAAGGAAAAGCCCTTAACATTTTGCGTTTTATATCAAGATAATATATTTGTTCTGAACAGTTTTAGGCTTTTCCAATCCTCTTATAACAAAATTCAAAATCAAATTACCAATCTCAATGGCTTTTTAGAATAACGGTTCTCTTAGTTCGTTATCTCAGCTTTTTATTTGACTCGAGAGCCTTAGAATTGGATGATTTGATTCAACCAAATAAATCTTGAATATTTTTTTCTTAAAGGGTGAACATGCAGCAGTTATCTACGGCACTCACTTTCCTAATCGCCTGTTCGTCGGATGCCTCCCAGAAAGTGCAACCGCCCTGGAGCTTGGAAACCATTTCAGCCAGTTCGGGAAAGTAGCGGAAGCGAAAATCTTAAAGGACGACTGTGGCAGATCAAAACGGTTTGGATTTGTGTCATTTCAAAACGAAGAATCTGTAAAAAGGGTCCTAAATGAAAGACCGATTCGATTTAAAGGAAAGTTGATCAATGTTGGACCTGCGGTTAAAAAAGATGGGACAGATACCCCTAGAAGTGTCTCGCCAAACATCGATGTCGCTGCCGCACAAGATCTAGTACCAGAAGCATCACCAAGTGGATTAACACATGTGCCATTGCCACAGAATCGAATGGCATGCTACAAAACCCCACAAATCACCCAGGGTCAGCTCGCATCAGTGCCAATGATGACGTCATCGCAAATAACCATCCCAACGACCACCTACTTTGCAGCAACCCCAACAGCAAGCACACATCTGGTGCAACACCCTTTGCCAATGAACATGTTTCCAATGCATTATCAGCCAGTAGCCAATGCAACCTCAACACCAGCCGCAATTCAAGGGGCATACTTCGACAAGCAACAGAGCCAACAGTGCTTCATACAAAACTCACCACCTTTAAATCATCAACTATACCTTCAACATCATTATGGAGAACACAGAATCAACAATGCTCGTCAGCAAGAGTTACATCTAGCAGCAAATAGACAATTTCATGAAATGACAAAATACAATCCATGTCAATCAACGACCTATTTTCCAATGATGAACTGCGTGTTTTGAAATTATTTGGTATCTGATAAATGTAATATATCTGTATAAATTGTATTTTTATTGTTGTTTTAATAAATTAATGGTATCTACACTGGTTTGAAACCGTTGTGATTTCTCAGAGTAACTCACTTACTGAAATTTCGCTCAGAAAAAATCTGTTGAGTAATTCTCAGCAATGAAGCCTTCCCGTCATCTAAAAAATGTTAATAAATAATTTAAACATGCTGAAATGAAGCAACCTGGAAGGATAAAAAACAGATGGTTGCCATTCTAAGCCAGGTAATTTAACCATGAAAGTTTTGAAAAAAGGTAAAAACATCGAAATAAGGCACACTGATTAAGATAAGCAGTGAAAAAATGAAAATTGTGCTTTGAGATAATGTCACAATGCATCTTAATTCTAATCTTCGATCTCAGTAGAAAAATGTGTGGTTAACTCCGAAAGTTCCAATGAGTCTTTGGAAAAAATCATTTGAAGAAAAATCTGGCAATGTATTAATCTTGAAAATGAATCATGGTTTGATGATTTAAAATGCCAATTTCAACACCTTTTGACATGGTTCTCAAAATATTTCACAAAACATGGCTCTTGACAATCAAGAAAAATATTAGTTATAAAAATTAATATATTGAAAGATGAATCTATTTTAAAAAATAAACAAGCTGACTAGAAACCAAAATAAACAATTTATGTTCAAGTTGAAGATCTCTAATTTTAGCAAATTTATTTCCTACAAATAGAAAAACAATTAAGTTTTCCATGTAAGTAGATGAAATTACTTGACTAAATTGCATTGCTAGTTGGACTTGCCTTTGCCTGACAAATCATGCTTTTCTAGCAAGGATGATTTCTCCTCCCCTCTGTCGACAGCTGGCTTCAAATTGCTTCCACTGTACCATAAGAACATGAAACTGATGGCTGCTATCACTATGCATGATACTCTCAGTGCAAACAAATCTTTCATCTGTTTGAAAAAGACAGATCAAACAACAGAACAGAAAAGAAAGCAGAGAAATTACTCATTCTCATAACCTTCTTAAATTTTTTCATTCTTTTGCAAAGGCTGTTGGTCTCAGCAATTGATTATGATTTAACATCAATGCACAAAAATTATAAATTGCACTGTAGAGTTGAGTCATTAAAAAATTAGTGCTGAACCAAGGAATGACATTGTATAGCGAATGCATAGATGAAAAATTTGATAAAATTTCAAAATGGATATTATACTCAGTGATCACAAATGAACAAAAAGTAACATTAGCACTTTTGTTTGCATTTTCTTTGATTCGCAACTATTAAATAGGCCGTCACAGACAGCCAAAAACATAGCAGCTTTCAAGAATCAAAGGTGCAATGTTGTTAAAAGAGTTTTAGGTTGTAACTATCAAAGCTAAGAATATCATTCAAGCCACCATAAGCAAACAAGACAAGTTTGTGATAAGATAAAGCAAATACATCAACAAATATTACTTGAGTTCTGAAAAACGTACATGATCTGTAAATATTTCACAAAACAGAATAGACAAAGACCCAATAATTGAACCAATCTGGCTGGAAGAGAGAAGACAGAGTCAATTGAAATTTTATACCAATCTCTAGTTTTCAACTTTTTAAAACAGGTTAATGATAGATGCAAAGCTGTATTTAAAAGAGGAACCTTAATAGCTACCCAATATTCTAAACAATCAGTTATCTTTTCAAAATTTTGTAACATCAACTATTGTCTCTATTAACACTTGGCCAACATACATAGCAAAAATAGATTCAATTTCATTGCATCTATACCATGGGAGAAGTTAAGATTTTGATGTTGTGGGGGGAGCCCAAAAGTTATTACAAAAATATGAAATGACTATATTAAAAATAATGTATAAGGTAATGTACAAACATGTAGAAACCAATACAGTCACGGGAGAGAGGGTTAAGCGGCAACATGTGCAAATTTTTTAACTCAGTACATCTAGATATTGCAATTTATACACTACAAATACTTGTTCCTTGATCAACAAGCTTTTGGTTGCAGAAGTGAACCTTCCCAAATGAAAAATTGTTTGCCTTGAAAAATTGTTTGCCAGAATGAACAAGCTTAATCTTATGATAACCAAAGATTAAGTTTTTTTGCTTTCCTTGGCTCAAAAATTCATAGATCAATTCCTGTAACATTTTTCAAATCTGCTCCACCTGACAACATGTCCAAAGCATCTCTGTTGTGCATGGTCAATATTCACCATTAAGTATCTGTTAGTTTGCCTTAGCAATTACATGAACTTGCCCAACTCACCTTAATGATCCTCCTCACATACCAAAATGTTTACTTTGCTCACTTAATTACCTAAATATCTATTGGAGCTGATATTTCATGATCAAAAATAACATTATTCTTATCAATTTCCACTTTGCTGCCAACTGTATATTCTATTCTATTCAGGCTTTTTATTTAATACTGTTGTAAACCTGCTAACACCAATGAACTTGTGTATAATCTTTGCAAACCATGGGCAAATTACAAAGAAAAATGCAGCTATACTTATTAGGAGAACAATGTTTGACCCTCCAAATTGTTCTTGTTACCTGTATTTAAGAACAGTTTCCTTTTCCTGTTGGACAGTTGATATCTCAGCAAACAAACTACACTGAGCAAGCACAACTACAAGAATAAATGGTAAAAGGGATAAATAAAGGCATTGCTGCATGTAATTATAGGGCAAAGAAGGTATGTAGAGTTGTGCCCGAGGTGCTTGGCTCATGACTAGTAGGTTAAAGTCCTATTGGGATCAGCTCCACAAGCCAACAGCCAGCTGTCCATCCTTTCGAGGTGCCCAGGCTATTCACCGACCTGTTAAGTTTCAATTTTAAAAATGAGTTCCTTTTTTTAAAGAAATGGGGAAAATGTTGGTACTTTTATTCGATCACAAGACTAGGAGGCAGATCTTGAATTATCTTGACTGCCATACAGATGAAAAGGGACAATAAAATTCTTGGTTTGTCACATCAAATTTATTGTATTTAATTCTCTGCTCATTCTTCTGTAGTTAGGCCTAGTTAGGATAGAGGAATTTTTGCTACAATTTGAAAAAGGCTGAAAGAATTTGAACAAATCAATAACATTATTTTAGAATGAATACAAATTCTGGTTTGCTATGTGAGCATGAAAAAAGAGTATTGAAAGGTAGGTATTCATCCCAGGGTTTTATGGGGACACAAGCCACAGATCCACATCCCGGAAACCAATGTTTATGTTTGACAAAAATTCTGCCATTTCATAAAACAGGGAACAAGTGGAACAACCCAGCAACAAGCCGAACAACCCAGCAATACTCATGTGTACATGGTTTTTCTCCCTAGAATATGGATTGTGTTAATAGATATCAAGTTAGATCAAAAGCAAGTTAATAGATATCAAGTTAGATAAAAGAAAAAGTTCTTTTGTAAATACAAACCAAATGTAAACATTCCATCATAAAAGCACAGTGAAACTATAAGATGAAGTCCAGTCACCCAGGGTGGACTGTCTTTTCCAGCCCAACCAAACCAAGGTAGAAGAAAACTGTAAAATGAATAAAAAGTTTGAATTAAGACACAGATGAACAGTTACACTATCTACTGCACCATGTACACCCTGCACCTACTACATGAAACCCTTGTTATGAAAGAAATTCACAAATCCATTTCTTGGTAATGTTGGTGATAAAGCATCTGTTAATTATCTATATGTAGATTAGCAAGGCAATGGAAGCCTGATCTTTCAAAAGATTTTTGTTTTTAGGCTTCTGATTTATCTACAGTTGTTGAATGTGTAAACTACAAACACATAAATATGCCTGGGTTCATTATAATACATTTTTGACTTCTCCAAAAAATAGCCTCTTAAAATCAAATTACTGGCTTTACTTTACAAATTACTTTGATTGAAGTAATCCCTAAGGGCAGGGACCGAGCACCACTCTCAAAGTGGAGGGGGTGAAATTGGTGTGGCCAAAAATTTTTTGAAGATATGCCCTATTGAATGCTGGAAACGCCCCTTTTAGAAAATACTTGCTTATTTCTATTGAATTTTTATTAACAATCTGGTTCAGAGAAGATATCAATAACTATAAAAATAGATAGAATTAGCCTAGAAAATACATCATGTCATTAAACAAGATGAAACACCTAGAAGAAGAACAAAAATGGTTCCAAGTCAATGACAACTGCTACTATATAGAGTAAACTATCCAAAGTTGCACAAGAGTAAACCTTCAAAAAATTTCTAGCCTACTATTGCAAAAAAGTAGGTGGGCTGTGTGATGCCTGCCTCAGGGTTTAGTGGTGATTGTACAATAAAAACTCTATAAGTCAAAAAGTATTTAAACGACACAAAACTAAAAATGCCATTTAAAGCCAAAAGATTTATTTAAAGCTTTATTTGCAATAAATGAATAAAAATGAAAATTGTATACCTTAAAGCAAAGAGGGGTGCTCCGTAAAGAATATTCAGTCTCCTATGTTTCAAAAATGGTATACTAGAGTGATCCTGAAAACAATCATAAAAAAGGAAATATTAACAAGATTTTGAAAATATCAATGTTGATATTTTTAACAGCTATTTGTGATTCCATGAGCCATATAAACATGTAAAGTAAACATTTTTAACAATAGTAAGTCCCAATTCAATCAGTTTTCATATTTCAGTTTTCATTTTTCAGTTTTCATATTTCAGTTTTCATAGTTCCAGTCCCATTGCAATCAGTTTGCAAGTTTCTAGCTAAACTGTGAAGCAAGAATGTTCCAGCTTTAATGGGTGCAAAAATGAAACAATGTTGGTGTCTGTCCTTAAGTGGGATGAACCTTTAATGCTTTTTTACATGCCACTTGATTATGTTTCCATAATAGATTTTTTGTTTTTTTTTGTATTTGTATTTGTTTCTACTTAGCATCCGAAGGTAGCTTTTTAAGACACTGAGAAGCTTATGCTTATCGAGCAGACCTTGTGATTCCTATGCCTGGAATTACAGAGAGCTGGCGACACTCTGGGTGAAAGTTTGGTCATGCCAGGGGCTCGAACCACGGACCCTTGGGTCTGTAGTCAGCGTCTCTAACAACTGAGCCATCCTCGCACTCGGTCTGTTATTCAAACTGATTTCTGATTGCTTCACCATTACAGCATGCAAGAGACTGGAACAAAAAGCATGATTTCAAGGCCCTGGATTTCTAAATTTGCAACCCAGTATAATTAGCAGTATTTGGAAAAAACAATTTTACCTGAATGTAACCAAATAAAGGATCATTGATAGCATTCCATATCAGATAAACAACTTGTGCTTGATTGAACCAATAAGGTGTGATGCTGAATAAGGAAGAAAATTGATCAAAGAGAGCAGTGTCAATACAGCAAGTGACACATTTGACAGAATATGCAGATATTTTACGGCTGGTAGTTGATGATTTTTCACAATAGCTACCCCAAAATTCCTTAACCTGTAGCAAAACTGCCAATAGCTCTTGCTGGGGCCAATCAAGATGTCCAGGATGAAACACCTAATGATGTCCTATGAATTTTAAAGACACCTCACAGCAAAATATGACTTATGTCCATTCATTTTGCAACTTTATGGCTTGATTAAACCTAGTAGAATCACATCTATCCTAAGGTTTAGCCTAATAAAATTATATCTTATTCAAGATTTTGAGGCCTTTCTGCAGCTGACAGGAAATATTTTAACAAAACAAGCCAAATATCAATGAAAGACAGGATATCAGCCTGGATACATAAAAAACAATCAACTCTTTCTAGCAATCACATGAAATACCACCAAAAAAATTAAAGATAAAACAGGTCAGTCGGAACAGGGGGATGGGGAGGTTGGAGGCCACCCCTCCCCAATAATTGTCAAATTGTGTAGTATCTTCTTTATTTTGTTCCGATGGCACTGTAAAACCACAACATCAACGCCCCCTTCCTTGCACGTTGTCGTTGAATATTTAACTGAAATTAAGCACATCTGATAAAATATCAACATTTCTGTTATTATTTCTGTTAGCGCAACTGAGTAATAATATCTAACTTGAACTGATACTACACTAATTTTGCTTGCTTTGCAAAAGATGAGACAAACAACCAAGGAGAGCGCACACAAGTTTGTTTTGAAATATGGATACATACTGGTAAACATTGAGAAAAATGTTGACATAATAGAACTGAAACACGAAGTTCATCAAAGAAGCTGCAACTGTTGTGGCAGAATACGCCACAGCATTTCTTTTTAAAAGCATTTTTCTTCTAATATTTGTGTTTCATCTGCTCGACCTATTTTTGCTTTGCAATTTTCCAAACAAAGTCAGCAGCAGCCTCTTTTGCGAGCCTCTCCTCACTTGCTCGTTGCTCGTTCACGTGTCACTGTGACGTCACCAGCAAACGGAGACAAGGAAACACAATTTCTTTTCAACGACCCCTCGAATGACCGTGCCCTTCCGAAAAAACGCACCTTGCTTGAAGGGACATATATCGGAACATGTAGAAAAATAAAGACCACACTTGGAGATCCCGTTTCCCGATTCTTAAAACCAATCTTCCCAAAGGAATAACCCATTTTCTCTCATCAAGAAAGGACATATCTACAATCGTCCACAAAAACTGCGAGCCTGCTTTTCCTTCCCACCTCGCAATAATGCCTAAGTCTGTTTGGCGTATTTACCCAAAAGAAAACCTAACGAACTTATTTTGTAAACCATTCATAATTTTGACTTAGGCTCCAGGCAGATGTATTCGTTGCTCAACCCTTCCACCATCCCCTTCACTCCCCCACCCCCTCCAAGCAATGTTGTTTGTTAAGATTTGGTGAAATAGTTGCAAATCATGTGTACAAAGACCGTTTACAGTAACAAAATCTTAACAACATTGCATGAAGGGGGAGGGGGTCAAATACAGTTCTGCTAGATTACTGTCAATAAATTTGTCCTGATTTTATCACTGGTCTCAATATATTTTGTGAAGGATTGCGTCCGTTCCTGAATCTATAAACAATTCATTGCTTAGCTTATCATGGCCAGGACATTTTCTTATTTTCAGATTTTTAAAGTACTTTATGTAATTCCTCCATTTTAAATGGTATTATGGGCGTTGCCAGTGAGTTGTACAAGGTTAATTTTTCTTAGGAAAAACAATCTACCTCTACCTTGGGTTTTAAATCAATTCTTAGTAGAAAAATTTGGGCCATGTTTTGAAAGAGTGAAGGGGTAGTTATTCCCCTGTAACCCCTTGGCGCTGCCACTGGTAGCCAAGTTGGTAGAGTAGCCATGGCCAGCAAACTTTGACCAAGTTTTATGCTTGTCTCTTTGTCTTCCCAAAAGATTCCCGTGACTCTAAAGCAAATGATCACTAAATTCATTAGCGTGTAGAAAGAAGCAGATATTGCATCCAACCAATCGAAAACCAGTAGGAGCATCATTAATCTTTTGGTCTAAATCAATAAGAGATCGAGTGAACAGCAAAGGACCCAACAAATAGCTTTAGTTCCTTTCTCTCAGCTTCGTCATCTTTTGAAGCTTCGATCGAACCATTAATTCAAATGGTCTTGACAAAAGAAATGAGTACTTTTTTACCAACAATGGTAATCCTTGAAATGTTGCCAATGATGCTCTGAAAAGGGCAATATAATTCCTCGCCATAATGTAAGGTAAACTACCCCCTTGCAATGATGCTATTAACGAAAGATATTAACACATTGATGGCTTTTAGAAGGGGGCATTCAGAAGAGACTTAAATTTAAGTAACATCCTTTCAAGGTCAAAACTTGACAATGTAAGTCAACGCCCTGATACAACTGCTTGTGGTCGTTCCAAACATAGAACTCGCAAACACAGGACACGAGATTCTGAAATATCCACAGACACTGGTAAAATAGCTTTTGGTCAAATTTTTACATGCTTTTTATCTTGCCTCATTAAATGCATACGCTGCCCAAAGTGTGAGATGCTTTTCCTAGAGAAGACATGCTGTCAATTGAAAAATCATTTTCGGACACGTTTACGGGTAGTTGAGCATAATAAACACGGAAGAATTGAATCAAACATTCAGACACTAACGTATCAAGACATTCCGATTCAGTTGGACATTCCGCCAATAACATGTTGGTTCAGGGATACCATCCGCTGTTAACGATGCAACAAATAGAAAGATTTTAGAGAAGAGAATAACTTCCAAATTGATGAATCTTCTACTTGGATAATGGTATGTGTATGTATGTATATAGTTTTATGTATATGATTATTTAGATTCCATAAATACTCTAGCTTGCGTGCCGACAATTTAATAGAATACAACTAGGAATTTCAATAAATTGTATTGCGAAAAAATTACGAATTTATTAAGACATTTTGACCACAGTTCTTGATAACGGGTAATGCTCGAATCGTTTTAATAAATTTCATATTTTTCATAGTACACTTAACTTAAATCTTTAGTTTTATTCTATATAATCATTAAGCCTGGATGACACATCACAATGAGCATAAATTGTAATGGATAAGAATAAAATGTAAAAAGGATTAGTACAAATTGTGGCCCAGCTTTAAAAGAAAAGGAAAGAAGTTTTGAATAGGAGTGAATATTACAAATTTTAATAAAATGTACTTAAGAATACTACAATCCTTCACAAAATAAATTGAGACCAACGATAAAATCAGGAAATCTCTACAAACAACATTGCTTGGAGGGGGCGGGGGAGGGTAGGGGACGGTGGAAAGGTTGAGCAACGAATACATCTGTCTGAAGCCTAAGTCAAAATAACGAATGGTTTACAAAATAACTTCGATAGGTTTTCTTTTGGAAAATACGCCAAACAGACTTAGGCATTATTGCGAGGTGGGAAGGATTGCGGCTTATAGAATGCATACTAATACTAAAATTACTGTACGCATGCGAAACGTGGTCAAAAAAATCAAAAAGTCAAATCAAACAACTTGAAAACATACAAAAAGATGCATTAACTATATTAACTGTCTCCAATTTCAACACCATACCAAGGAATATTTTATGAATGTGGCCTCAAACCAATAAAATGAAGAATAAAAAAAAGGAGGCTGACATATCTGCATGAAATATTAAACATGAAAGACACAAGACTTGTTAAACAAATGTACGAAGAACAAAAACGACTTAACTTGGTGGATTGTTGGTATAGTACAATTATTTAAGATTTAAAAAGCCTTAATATCCATCTAACAGAAGAACGAATTTGCAAAAGTTGCAAACTTAACTAAAGAACGAAAAATTCAATGAATAAAAAAATAGTTAAATCCATTGAAAGTGGCTTGTGTCAAAATAATAAAACAAAAATGAGATTCATCAAAAAATCTTCATTCGGTCTAAAATTACATGTTAAACATAATAAAGGCGCAAAACTATTAAAACTAAAATTGAGCGTGACCGAATTGAAGACAAATTACAAGGAAAAGCGTGAAAATGCTTTATGCAGAAGGTGTGGAGAACGTAAGGAGTATATAGAGCACCCGTGGGAATGCCGCTTTTTCCAAAAAACGATTTGAAAAAAATAGGTAGCTTACAGGGAAATAATCCAAAGTTACTTAGTGACATAAACAAATGTGTGGAACAATTGTGCAATTTCTGAAGTAAAAAACAACAATAACCAAAGCCCGTATGACTAGCCTCAATGCACTTGTGGTAAGGAGAAATTGCTCTGAAATGGAGAAGTGGTATCACTATTATTGTTATTATTATTAGTAGTAGATGGCGCCGCCATTATTTGCCACGCACAAATCCAACATACTACCAACTTGAACATAGTATTTATCATCAAATGAGAAACCGTTGATGGTTTAAGTAAAAGTTGAGCAAGTCATATGAGCAGGGGCGCAGTGGGAGTTAACTTTTTGGGGGGGCAAAGCTGAAAATTTTCCGATAAAACTATGATTTTTCCGACAAATTTTTTCTCAATACATTCCTTGAAGATTACCCTTGCTGCATATACTGCAACACTTGATACTACAATATCACGAATGGATCTGGAAATCGTTAACGAATGGATCGTTCGTTATACACCTTCAAGTTCAACAATAGCCTTTATTCTAACAAAACTTACCAAATATAAATCGCTATGAACAAAACTGCAACTAGTTATAAATTTACACCCTACAAGTCTTCTCGCTATACTAGACAATAAACTGTCAAGTTAGTATTTATAGCTGTTTATAGCAAAAAGTTTTTGGCAAGTTTTAAGTCGCATCATAATTACTTTGCATTTATTTATGCTAAACCTTAAATAGATATAACGCGTCCAAAAGAATAGTTTTCTTTTAACTGAATTTATATAAACTGTTACTCAAGCAGCATCTTTCTCAAAAGAGGTGTGGCAGCATACAAATCGACGATGTCACCATAGTCTATCGACTGTAAAATATCACTTTCGACGTTGATTGGTCATCAGAGAGGAAAGGCGGTCTTGTCCCATCGTTGACCGTAGCCGATTTTTTTACAATCCTCAGCTTTGAAAAAGCTCTTTCATAGTTTGTTGAACCTATTGGCAAAGTGACGAGAACCTTGTAAAGAAGGACCAGCTGTGGAAAGGCACTTTGCAGGTTATACTTATCATCAACTGAAGAACTGAATTAGACAGGACATATAGCCTGACAATCTGACATTCAAGCTAATGTTTGCTTTCTCAACGGATTCTGGTAGTAGAGAGTTCAGGCTTTCATAATCTGCCAGGTGACTTTTTTGAAAATGCCTGGATGTCACGTGACTGATGACGTCATTTAACGGCAAAAAGTCAGACAAAATCATCGTTAGCTCCTCACTGAAGGGTTATTTTTAACGCAACTTACATATTTTGACTCGTCTCATTGCAAGCTTTCAAATGATATATATATTTAAGCAAGATTTGCCGACATAAGTATTTTCATTATGACGTCATAAAAATTTTTGCATGACGTCATCAAATATTTTATTGTCATAAAATGATACGTTAGCATAATTTTGTTTTAATATGACGCTTGCTGTCAGCAAAAGCTTTTCTTCCATATGTTTTTCAATCAAAATAATTAGTATTCAGTTCATTTAAATTGAATTTGTGCCAACCGCAAAGCCAAAGTTCAAATAAAGAAGTCGCTTCTTCCTCCGAAGTTGCAAAGTCTTGCTCCCACTTTGAATCCGCATTTGAATGTTACACTAAATCGGAAGAATGTCTTGGCAATATAGGCTATCCAAGATGTCCTACCAATGTTCTTCTGATGGTGGATTTATATATGGATTTGGCTCCTTGCACATGAAATTAAGAAGCACAGCTTTATCTCCTTGTCACAGTACACCTTCAGGAGTTGCAAGACTAGAGTTATGGTTTTGATGGGATA